CCCACTGGGGATAGCACTGTGGGCAGGTGGCCCAAGGAGCGGTGGCTGAGCCTAAGGGACCAAAGGCAGGTGAGGTCTGGGAGGGAGCAGGTCTGGAAGGCCCCAGGCCCGCCTGAGCCGGCTCTCCTGCCTCCCCTCCAGGCCAGCCTCTGCTGGTCACACTGGCGCCCTACTCTGGCGGGGCCATGGGGGAGGCTGGGCCTGGCCTCTCCACTGACACCGTTAGGCCCCCTCAGCTCAGCTGCCCTTCTCCAGGGACGACGCTCACAGCCAAGGAGAAGCCGAGGACACAGGGTGTGTGCCCAGACCGTGGCCGGCTTAATCCGCTAATGTAAACACAACAGCGGGCGCAGGGCGTAGCCGGGCAAGAGGGCAGGTGGGGTGGAGCCCAGCTCCGCCTCGCCACTGACCTGGGGCCGGACCCAGCCCCGTGACCTGAGAAGGAAACCCAAGCCCCAGCCCTCCCTCCGGTGGCGTCTGAGGGTCTCGGCTGGACGGGCCTCCCCCAGGAGCCCGAGCCACCCCTAGCTGCCCCCTCTGAACCTGGGAGGGAGTGATGGATGGCCGGAGCCAGGCTCAAGTCCCTGTCGGCGGCAACAGAGGGTCACGGGTCTCACCCTCCAACCGTGTCCCCAGACAGCCCCACCGGCCCTTCCAGCCCCAGAAAAAGAATCCAACGCTCCTTAAAGCACTGCCTGACAGCACCCCTGAGAGCCCGGCCCGGTGTGTCCTGCTGCCAAAGGTGTCCCCACACTCCCGGGCTGTGGCAGGGACAGGACTCCTGAGGCCCTCCGTAGCTGGGGGCCTGCCGAGACGGGCTGGAGGCCGGGCGGGAGAGGCTGGTGGATAGAGACGTCTCCCAGCAGAGAGGCAGTTTGCTCAGCCACTCAGCCCTGCCTCCCATCACACCCAGGTCCCATCAGGGCAGCCTCGAGGGGCCGTGGGCGGGGGCGTGGGCAGGAGGCCCTGGGCGGGTCGCACGTCTGACACACCAGCTGTTGCAAAACCGAAGTCATCACAGCGGAAGAGCCATGCGTCACCGCCCGGGGGGTGCTGCGCCCCAATCCTCCCAAACAAAGACCCTTTGTCCCGGAGCACCCCTGCGCCAGGCCCACCTGCGCAACTGGCAGACGCAGGGGCGGGCGGATGCGCCAATGGCAGCAGCAGGCTCAGGCAGGGTCGGAGGCATGTTCCGGATGCCCGGACACATTTCCCAGCCCACACGCTCCTCTCCAGGGCCAGGCTGCAGAGACCCTGGGGGACAGAGCCCTGGGGTGACACAGAGCTCAGAGTGGCCTGAACTGGAGTCCCAAGGGCAGACCGGCCACGCCCAGCTGGTGAGCTGCGGCCCCAGGATGCAGCAGCCCAAGCTCTGCTGCCCAGCTCTGGCTGCAAAGGCCTCCTGGGATGGAGGCCGAAGACCAAATGAGGCTCCTGCCACCACCCAGGGAGCCCCTCCCCTGCCGGTCACCCCACGCCCCAGCCTGGGGCGGCCACCGCCGTGAGTCCAGCCTGGGCCCCACAAGCTTACCATACAGCATGATGGGCTCCCTGATGCCATGGACCCCACAGGCAGCCGCTCTGGGTTCACCGATTGACCGGCTGAGGGCTCCAGCCTGGACCCCCACCCTGCCCTGTTTGCTCCCAAGGGGCTTGGTGCTTCCGGCACTGTGCAGAGTCCTGGTCCCAGGGCAGAGATCCGTGGACATGCAGGGACCCAGCCCACACGAGCCACCCACATGGATGCTGCTCCACTCTGCCCACGTGCCAGGACACACCCAGGGACAGCAGGGATGCCAGCCACACGGACACACAGCCCCCCAGACATGCCCACATAGCTCCACAAGTCCCCGGGCCACTCTCGGTCCTCGGCCCAGGTGACAGGGATGTCTGGGTCTGGGACCCACGGACAGTTCACAGGAAAGCACACACGGCTCTCTGGGAGCCCTTGGAGCAGACCCCTCCCAGCCACAGGCCCGACCGGGCGGGAAGGGCTGACGTCAGAAACCCAAACTGGGCTGTGGCCTCTGTAGCCCAAGGGTTCACCCCCAGGTGCCCCAGGGCCCAGGCTAGGGAGGGCAGGCCTCTTCTGCACACCTCAAACCTAGAAGGGACCTCAAGGTGGATGGGGATGGGGTGGAGCTGGCTAAGGTGTCTACACTGACAGCAGAGCCAGGTGGGATTGGCCTCTTCTCACAGGACAGGAGCCCCCAGCCCAGGCCCGCTCCTGCCAGCCCCCAGAAGATGTTCAGCCCCCCTGCCCCTGATGTTCACGCTCCTGTCTGTGTTCGCACCCGGGACAGTGCCAAGGGCGCTGGGGGGACAGGCTCTGGCCCAACACGGAGGCACAGCCCCAGCGCCCTGGCCTGGGTGCCAGGAGGGGCTGGTCAAGTCCGGCCAGGCTGCAGCCCCAAGACCAGGGCTTGGGAAGGGTGTTGGGCAAACCCTCATGGGCTGGGCTCGCCGACAGCCAGAATCTCCACGGCAGCAGCTCCCCCTACAGCAGGGTCAGACTGAGGTGCTGGGGAGTCAGCCGGGGTCAGCCAGGACAGCCAGCGTGTCCCGGGGCTGGGGGCAGGGCTCACGAGGGTCAGCACTGTGCTGGCCGCTCTGGCCCTAGCCACCACCAGAGAACTGGACACATGGGCCACTCAATAGCCCAGCTCCAACACGGGGCTCCCTGTCAGGGGAAAGCTCCATGTCCCTGGGCTCCCCTCACCCGTGGGACTCCTGGCAGCCCCCGCCCCAAGCAGCAACAGCTCTGGCCTGGCCTGCACCCACCACAGGTAAGAGCGATTGGCATTTCACACCCACCTCAAGAGCCCAGACCTTTCCCACGACCAACCCTGCAGTCTGGGACGGGCTTGGGAGGTCCAGCTGGTGGCTGGGCAGCCTGTGTCCCCTGCAGCTGAGGGCCTGGGACTGGGGCCTGGACCCTCCCACGGTAGCTGTCCCCCGCCAACCTGGCCTGCCCACTCCTTTGCTCGTAGGCCTCCAGCCACAGACCTTCCAGGGGAATCAGAGCTCGGTGGCCAATGGCCTCCATCAGGGAAGACTGGGCAGCTGGAGGTGGCGGATGGGGTGGGGGCAGGGAGGGAGGCACCGAGGTGGCCCTGCCTGGCCCCTGCCCACAGAGCTCCCTGTCTCTCAGCTGCAGCTGCCCTGGGTCCTGGCCTCAGGGCTCCACTTGTCCTCACAGCCCTGCCTCCTGGGCTGGGTGGGTGGGGGGTGGCTGCTGTTGGCCCCTTAGGAGCCCCCCACCCTGCTGTGGTGCGGGAGGCCTGGCAGGGCTGCCCCCGTCCCAGCTGGCCTCAGGCCCCAGCCTGTCCCTGCACAGGGTGGGGGCTGCTCCAGGGGCCAGAGGAGAGACAAGGATGAGTGGGCAGGGCCGGCCAGGGAGAGGAAGGCGGGAAGCAAAGGGGTGTCTAAGGCCCTGGGGTCCCTGCCCCCCACCTCTGCCCTGCCACCCTCCCCAGGCACTACTGTGTCTTCTCAGGGACCCTGGGGGGCCCCTCTAGCCCCCAGCCTCAGCTTCCCCGGTGTCAATGGGCAGTTCCCAAATCCACAAGGGGGCCTAGCCCAACAAGTGGGTGCTAAGCAGGGAGGGGAGGGGGCTCCCCAAGCCCAGACCACTGCATGGGGCCTGGGCTCCGTGGCCCCAGGTCAGGACCACGGTAATTGGGAAGTGGTGGGGGCTGGTCACCCCTGCCCCCAGCCTCCTAGACAAGGACCCCAGGGTAGTGCTGCACATGGGCCCTTGCTGGCCACTAAGACAATCCCAGTCAGACTGGGCTGATGGCTGCAGCCAGGTTAATGAAGCAGGGACCCCCCCAGACAGCCCCAGACCCTGACACCACCCTGGGGGGCCCAGGGGGAGGGGTGGGGACGGGTCAGCAGCCAGGCCCACTGCTGCACGACTGGCGCCAGGCAACACCACCTGGCTGTCGCCTGCTGGGCTGGCTGCCTCACTGCCCAGGCCCCCCGTGGCCTCCCAGGCAGGCCCCAGTCCCAGGGGAGGGGTAACAGCTCGTGGGCTCCAGCCTGGTCCACCCTCCCCTGCCCCACCTGGCCCTGCCCTCCCCTGCCCATGCAGGACCTTTGACCCCCCCCCCAGACCCTAAGTCCTTCCCTTGGGAGACAACCCAGGCAGGGGAGGCCCGCCACGGAGCCAGCCCCACCACGAACCCTGCAGAGTTGGAAGTCAAGAGCCCACCACCACCTACGGAGGGCTCTTGGGTGCCAACCAGAGACGGTATCTTGGCAGCTCTGCAGAGCCCGGGACGTCCTGAGGCCAACTTGCTTTCTCCGGTCTGAGTTTGACAGAAGCCAAAATGGGGTGAGGGCAGGAGTTCCCAAATCCACAGGACCCCCAGTTGGGGCCTCGGCCGGGCTCCAGCCTCAAGGTGGCAGTTCTGGCCACAAAGGCCCAGAGGGGCCCTGGTCTTTAGGGTGCAGTGGCCATCGCCGGGGAAGGTGGTGAGAGGCGGGGAGCTGCCCTGGTCCCCCTGGCCTGGGCTGCGCTGTGCCCCCCAGCTCCCAACGAGAGCACAGTCCTGCGTGTGACCCGCACACCCTCCTGCCTGGCTCCTGGCCATCCCCCGTGCGGGGACCCCTGCCCTACAGGACGCAGGCACGCTGCCTGCTCACCGCACCCCCTCCCCCCAAGGCCTCACGAGCCTGGGGTATCCACAGCCACTGCCCCCCAAGGCTGGACAGGCCCTGGGGATGGGGGGTGGCCCCTGGCCATGGGCAGGGCTGAGCAGGGACCTGCATGGACATTGTCCTTGTCCTCAGGACAAACACGGCCCCCAGCAGGAGCTGCCCGGAGGGAGCTCGGCTGCCCCCACCCCCAACCGGCTGTGTGTGCGGCACCTGCGGCCACACTCCGAGCTCGGGGGGTCACGTGTGGACAGCACCCTGCTGCCCCACCCCCATCTCAGCAGCCAGGCAGCCTCCACCTCCAGCAACGCAATGACCAGGCCGTGCCCGAGGGCGACAGGGAGGGCTGAGGGCTGTTTATTGGGGTGACCACAGGTAGTAACAGGGTGCTCTGAGATGAGTCGGTGATGGCTCACGTGCCCAGGAGTAGCCCGGAGAAGCTGGAGCCGCCCTGGACGGTGAGAACCACCCCAGAGCGGTTGTCCACAAGCACGGAAGCATACTGTCCAGCCTGCAAGCACCCACAGAAGACATCACCACCATGGCGGCCCCGGCCCAGCAGCCAGGGGTCCTGAGCGACCACCGGGCCGACGGCCCTCCTGCTTGCACTGGCCGGGAGGCTCCCAGGCCCTGAGTCCGACCCTGCCTGAAGCAGCAGCAGCTCTGGCCTGGCCTGCACCCACCATGGAACCCAGGTAAGAGCGATGGGCATCTCCCACCCACCTCAAGAGCCCAGACCCTTCCCTCGGCCAACCCTGCAGCCTGGGACTGGCTTGGAAGGTCCAGCTGGTGGCTGGGCAACCTGTGTCCCCTGCAGCTGAGGGCCTGGGACTGGGGCCTGGACCCTCCCATGATAGCTGCCCCGCCCAACCTGGCCTGGACCCCACCCGGCACCCAGGACCCCACCCGGCCTCACCTGCAGCTGCAGCAGCCCCTGCACCTGGGCCGTGGAGACCCTGCTGTTACTCTCCAGGCCTGAGACGGCCTCCAGGGACCTGCCACAGTATGACAGGGCAAGGGTGAGGGCGAAGTCTGGGCCCAGATCACACATGGTACCTGGAGACCCCTGTGGACTCGTGTGCTCTCTAGAAGCCCACCTGGGACCCCAGCCCCCAGGGGCTCACTTACGCATGGCGATGGCACAGGGACTCGATGCAGATGAGCACACGCACCGTGCCCCGGGCCCGAGGCCGCGGCCTGCCCTGCAGCGCACTGTGGTCTGTGGAGAGAGCCCTCGGGCAGGGTGGCGCACGGGGGCAGGGGCTTCAGGGCACACTGCCCGGACATGGCGAGGGAGGGGTGCTGGGGTGGGGGAGGGAAGGCCGAGGCCTGGAGCACAGCGGTGACCCCACGCCCCATAGGACAGGAGCCAGAGGCCCCATGCCCAGTCCAGGGCCCTGAGCAGAGCAGGTGGCAGCTCTCTGATGGGACCTGGGCCTGGAGCCAGGGATACTGGGCACCCGCCCGTAAGGCCGGCCCCCCGGCCGCACACACGGTGGTCCCCAGGCTCACCCACGTGCAGGCTGGCAGAGAACTGGAAGATGCCAGACACCGGGGCTGTGAATCGGCCCGAGGACAGGCTGAGGCCGGACCCCCGCAGGAAGTCGCCCTGGGCAGTGGGCTGTGAGGGGCAGCAGCTGAGTGGCTGGCTGAGGGCCGGGACCCTCCTGTGCAAACCGGCCTGGGGGAGGCGCTGGTGACAGACGGCTCCCGATCTGGGGTCCCGGCTCTCACCAGTGGGCAGGACAGGGCTGACCCTGCATCCACGCCCACCCGGGCCTCAGGGCACAGGCTCTGGGCCCTAAGGGGCAGACAAGGCCCACAGGCCTGCACAGGGAGGGTCTCCATACCCCTGGACGTCCATAACCCCAGCCCCAATTTTGGCATAAGGTGGTGTCTGAGCACACGGGTCCTTCCAACCTGACCTGCGGCCACCCCTCACCCTCTGTACCCTGCTCCCCCAGGACCCCAACCCACATAGGTTCCCCGGTGACTGTCAGTGGTGGCCATAGACTCATCTCGCCTGTGGGGGGCACACTCAGCACCTTGCACCTTGGCAGCACCTGCAGTCGATGCCTGCAGAGGCCCCCCGAGCTCCGGACCCCTGCCCCCACTCACGGCCTGGAAGCCGCGCAGCTCCACCAGCGTCCGCCTGTCCACCAGCTGGGGGCTGCGCAGCCGGCAGTGAAAGGCCTCGTCCACCAGCCGCAGGCCCAGCCCCTGGGGCGGCAGCGGGCCTGGCAGCCCTGGGAACCGCCGCTCGGCAGCTTCTGTGGGGAGAAGGGCGACAGCAGAGGGTCAGCTCGGACCAGCACCTCCGGCCCTGCGTGGGGCCTCCTGGGCCCAGGGGGGGCAGCCTCACCTTTCAGCATTTCCTGAAATTCCTGCAGCAGGACCTCCGGGGTGACTTCTGCACCAGGGGGCCCTGGGGGCCCAGGGGGTCCAGGAGGCCCTGGGGGGCCTGAGAGACCCTGCTGGAAGGAGGCAGGAGAAGAAAGTGAGGGTCCTAGCGTGTCCCTGGTGGGAGCCACGGCCACCCCTTGCCCGGGGCTGAGACCCTAGTGAGGGCCGGCCTCCCACAGCTCGGGGCTCACCGACTTCTTGTCCCGGCCTCGGCACCGTTTCTTCAAGGCCCCGTCGTCGGGCCGCCTAACGAAGTTCAGCCATGTCATGTGGGCGTCTGAGAACTCAGGTCTCGAGGCCTTGGAAGGCTGCAGGGCAGGGGACAGGGCTGGCGTGCTGACCACCAGGCCCTCTTGGACCCTGTTCCCACTGTGCCTGGCAGAGACCTGGGAACCTCAGGGAAGTGTGCGGGACGCAGACATGCACTGGGATGCCCTGGGGGCCCCCTGAGGGACTCAGCACCCGGATATCCCCATGTCAGGGGCACAGGCAGGCCGGGGACCGGGCCTCTGTTGGAGCTGGGCCTGAGGCCCAGAGCCTGACATAGGCTTGGCCCTGGTGAAGTGGGGGCAGGGGCAGTGGGAGCAGGACAGGAGCCTTTCTGAGCATCCCAGAGACAGCACCAGGCCAAGAGCCAGTGCAAGGCTGGGGGCTGGGGGCAGTGGGCACAGGCCCTGGCTCCAAGCTCAGGCAGCGCAGGCTGGCAACCTCTGCACTCGGGCCAGCCCCACTCTTCAGGCTGAGGCCTCACTGGTCCACCCTGGGTGGGAGCCAGGCAGAGCTGCCCAGGGCCCTGTAGCCCCCAGCCTGGTTTCTGCCCCAGCCCTGGAGTCAGAGGAGGAGACGAGCTGACTGGCGTGGCTGGGGTGAGCCTGGCCTGGAGGCCGAGCATGGAAGTCTTGTGTGCCAGACTCCGGCGGAAGCGCGTGGAATGGGCAGGAAACTAACAGAGCTTGTCGGGCCCCAGGCCAGGGTGTGCCAAAGGGTCCTGGCCTAGGGCACAGTCCTGACCCAAGCCCTGAACCAGGAGAGCCAGGTTCTGGGTGGGGGGTGGGAGGCTCTTCCCCAGTGAGCCAGACAGGCCCCTGTCCCGGGGGGGTCCCCACCCCAGACCTAGGCCCCACTAGGGAACAAAGAGGCTTTGGAAGGCACCAGTTCCTCAAACATCAGGGTCTGCTAGTTCCCCTGGACATGCTGGAGGGACTGGGGGCCCTGGAGGGCCAACGGCAGCCGTGATCGGGCAGCAGATGGGGACTGGGCCCACCCCAGCACAAAGAGCAGACGTCCCACACACCACAGCTGGGCCCCCGTCTGGTGGACAGCCCTGTCCACCAGACGGTCCCCAGGCTGCCCCTGGCTCCTTCCCTAAGGGGCAGCCCTGGGTGCTGAGGGAACCTCCACCAAGGGTGCAGGTGGGTGCCTCCCCCCACCCCAGGTGGCTGGCTGAGATCCCACCCCTGCCAAGCACCCCCCGCCCCACCCCACCAACCACGCCCTCCTGCCCGCAGGACAGCCCACTCGCCCACTCCTCGCTGCCAGGGCTGCAGCCTGGCTGTCCTCAGCCTGCCCATCTGGAAAATGGGCCTGAGGCTCCAGTGGAGCTGCACGGCCAAGAGGCAGCTGGGCAGGCACCATAGAGACGACCTTGGGAGCAGGGAGGGAGGGATCAAAGGCGCAAGGGCCGGGGTGCTGCAGGGCTGCTCCCCTCCCAGCCCTGGGGCCCCCGACACAGGATGGCAGCACCAAGAGGCCCCAGGCCATGCACCAAGACCCCTCAAGAGACCCTCAGGCCAAGAAGACAGAAGCCCAGGTGTTAGATAGGCGCAAGGGTCTCCAGTTTTGAGAAGACCCTGGACAGGCCCCAGCTAGAGCACTTCCTGTGCACAGGGGTGCTGGCCTCACGGGACCCCAGGAAGCACAGGGCGCTCGCCCTGGCATGCCTAGCGCAGAGGCCTTGGGGCATGGGGCTCCCAGCATGGGGTCTGGCAAAGCACCAAGCAGGCTGCGGGAGCCCCTCCTCACCCTGCCCCTTGGACTAGCAACTACACCTAACAGCAGCAGGTAGCTTGGGGGGACAGGCTTAGGTCTTCAGAGGGTTACTTGCAGCCCCCTGGGAAGCCCCTCCCTTCACCTGGCCTGCTCTGGGGGCCAAGGGCTGGCTGCCGGGAGGGGTCTCCGAGAGCCCAGCCCAGTCTGGCTGCAGCAGATCCCCACCATGACCTGGCTTTGGTCAAGGGCTCGGGAAGGGAGACTAAGGGGACACGGGTGAGCCCCAAACCAGCAGCTTGCAAGGGCGTGCCCACATACACCCAGCCCGCGTACCTTGGGGGCGCCCGGCGGCCACTCGCTGTGGGATGTGGTGTTGTTGGGGGGCTCCATGTACTGGCTGGGCTGCCGCCGTGCCCGGACACCCTGGAGGAGTGTGAGCTGCAGCCAGAGGAGGGCCGCGGCCCAGGCCAAGGCCCAGGCCCAGTGCTGCATGGATCCGTCCCTCTGTGGCTCTGCACGGCAGCAGGGCTCAGAGCCATGCGGGGGCGGCGAGGCCCCAGGGTGCGCCCTGCTGCCAGTGCATGACGAGCCCCGAGTGGCTGCACTAGGGCACAATGCTCTGGTCCCGCTAGGTCCCTGCTCCGTCCTACTCCGTGCTGTCCCGTGTCCCCTGCAGCCTTTCTTTGAGCAGCAGCCCAGTAAGCCCTGCCTCCTCCCCACCCCCCCAGGGCTCCAGGGAGAAGGGGGCGGGACCCCTCCCCTGACCACCACCAGGCTCTTCCCAGGAGCACAGGGCTGGGCTGTGGGAGGGGCCGCGCCTCCCACCCTGGCTGGAGGGTCCTACTGGCCCAGGGAACTGTTCACACGGATTCCCTCGGCCCGCCCCTCCCCTTCCAGCATAAGCTGGCTGAGCCCTTCCCGTGGGATCACTCCTCCGCTCGCCACCCACCAGCTCCATGTGCAGAGTCCCCAGCCCCTTCCCACGGCTCACGTGATCAAGGCCCTCTTGCTCTGCCCCTGCCCTGCTGCAGGTCCTGGGGCCCAGATGCAGGGTTCTGGGGGTGCCGCAGGCCTGGCTGGGACCCTGGGCAGCCCCTACTCACCAGGCTCCCAGCCTGGGCCAGACCAGGCCCTTTCAGCTCAGTGCCCAAGAGGTGGTGGTCCAGGTGAGGCTAGAAGCCTGAGCCAGGACCCCCAGCTGCCAGTTGCCCCTCTATGGGTATGGACCACAGCTAAGAACAGTCAGCAACAGAGAAGCAGCTGCCCAAGCCCAGCTGTGAGGAGGGTGGGCACACTGGCCCTCGTGGATGCTCCAGACCCTCCTCAATTTCCAGACATCAGCAGGGTGAAGGTGGCCAAACAGGAGACCCCAGCCCCAGGCAGAGCCACCCAAGAGATCAAACTGGGGTGGGTAAGACATGTAGGAAGTGCCCACCAGGGACCCCATCGACCCCCTCGCCCTCCTGGTCCTCAGGTAGAAATGTCACCTCTGGGGACAAGACGGAGGCCGATTCTAGCATCTCCAGAGTGCACTGCTGAAGCTGCTCACCCCTGGGGAGGTGCCCTCAGCCCACACTGCACGAGATCCATGCCTGGGTCCCCTGCATGGGTCAGGAAAGGCGGCCCCCCCCGCACCCCTCAGCCCAGTCTCAGAGCACTGAGCGGAGGTGGGCCAGTGCCTTAGCCTAGGAGGCCCCACCTAGGGCCACCAGATGCCCACAGGCATGAAACCTTACTTTTCTGTGTCACCTGCTGGCAATGTGCTTCCCTGTGACTCGAGACAGCCTGGGAGGCTGGACCAGGGCCCAGTCACAGTGAGGCGGAGGCACAGGGGCTTCACTGCACCCAAGAGCTGGGAGGGGTGTAACTTCCTGTCCCCTCCAGAGAACCAGCCACTCAGCTAGCGCTCTACAGGGGAACACGGCCTTCAGTGTCCCCTTCCCCATGCTCCCTCTGGTGAGAGCCAGAGCCACCTGGAAAACGGACAGAACGATCCTCTGGAGTCACCCAGCAGGGCCGCAGCTAGAGCAGCCCCCAGAAGGGGAGCTCAGGTTTGGCTGCTGGCTCTCCCCACCCCCCCGCAGCCCCCAAGCCAGACACCTGACACCCCACACCCTAGAGAAATGGCAAAAGACCATGGGGCCCCGGGACGCTGCCCCAGACAGTTTCCACAGACTCAGACCCAGACCCCTCCGTGCTGGCTGGCAGCCTAGTTCTCAAAGGCCAGCCTGGGGGGGGGGGGGGGGGGTCTCCTCGGGAGAGGCGCAGGCCACTGGAGTGCGCAGGAGATGCTTTCCCCACGGCCGCTGTGTCCATAAACGTGAACTTTTGTGAGACTTCGCACGGACTGGCTGGTGAGGGGTCAGCTATGCTGGCCAGGGGACCCACTGCCCCCCACGGGTGATGCCCCACTGGGACAGAGGGGCCCACGATTCCTCCGGGGAAGGGTGGCAGGGACAAAGGGTCAGATGCGCTCGGTCCAGCAGGGCAAAGATCATCTTTTATTCTGGGTCAGCACAGGCATCACAGACCCCTCTCCTCTGCTGACCAAGGGTCGTTAACGCGGGGATTTCACGCAAGGAGAGAAACAGCAGGCGTTAGGCAAACGGTATTTGCTAACATCCTGCCTCCCAAGAGCCTCAGGAAACATCCAGGGTTTGGAACCGACTCCAGTCACGGAAGCGCTCTTGGGCCGGGCTATGGACCAGGCAGGGCTGGCGTCCCGCGCAGGAAGGGAGCAGGGCTTGCAGGACAGCACCCAATGCCACCGTGCAAGTCCACGCCAGTGGGTGACAAGCCGTCCCCAGGCCAGGCAGGTGTGACCCCATCCACAGGCCACCCTGGCTCTGAGCCACCCGAGACAGACAGCCATCTCCGCCAACACAGACACCGCATGAAATTAGGAACAAAAATATAATTAAAGATTTTTTTCACAAGAGTGGATTAAATACATACAAATGGTAAATTAGAGCAATTTTAAATAAACTGATTAAAAAGCAAAGTCAAAGATGAACACAGACGGCTGCACTTCAGTTTTATAGCTCGCCCGGGGACGGGGATGGCTTCAGCCTCAGTGGGCCCTCCCGGCGATGACTGTGGCCATGTCCACCACTGGACACAGCCCCACGCACAGATGTTAAGTTTTTTTAAACAATGCGATGCTTTTTCAAAATCTCCTGTGCAGGTGAAACCATAAAACACAAACACAAAAGAGAAGACTTCAGCAAGCCAGGGAGTCACAGGTCCCAACACTGAGACCACGCCAGCTTCCACTCGTGCTCGGACACGCCCTTCCAGGCAGGCCTCCCCTTCCAGGATCTTCTGTGTGGAGGGAACACCTGCTCCAGCAGGGGCAGGACCCTGCTCACCTGCCTGCAAGGCCAACCAGGGAGCTCAGACCAAAGCGAGGGAGCCCCAAAGTGCCCAGAGTCAGGTCCTCCTATTGAGGGGCCTCTGTGAGACCCTGGGTCTCCACCCTCCGCCCCACAGGAAGACAGGGCCTCACGGACATGAGAACTCAGAGAGGAGGCTCTGCAGGTACCTGACGACACCCAGCTCCTGCAGCACCCAGAGCTCGGGGGAGACCGACGGAGGCTAGAGCTGGGGGTGACTCTGCTGCAGCACGCAGGGCCTGTCCCCTAACAAGGCCAACCTGTCTCGTCCACGCCCAGCTGCTGCCTAGTAAAGGGCGACACCTAGCGGTCAGAGTAAGCAGGTTCTTAACTTCTACTTACGCAAAAACAAACAAAAAGAACGAACGAACAAGCACTTTCTAGAATGTTTTCATTCTAACTGACCATAAACACATTTTCAAATGCTGACACCAAGTCCCACGCGCCTCCTGGCCCCCCTTCCGTGGCTGTCGCTGGCCAGCCAACCCGGCCCTGCTGAGCCTCGGACCACGCGTGCCGGCCCCTCCGCCAGGCCCTGGCTCCTGCCTGGCGATGCACTAGGTGTTTGACAGGCATTGAGTTGTATGTTTTTAAGTGACCAAATCTAATAAAATGAAAAACAGGTTTACTAAAACAGGTCTAAAGACAATACAAGAGATAAGCTATAAAAACCAAAGTGTGAGCGGCCCTCCTCCACGCCAGCCCCAACAGGCACGGGGGCGAGAGGGGGCTGAGAACCTCAAGCCTCCTCCAAATCTGAACCACACATTTTGGTTTTTGCTTTCCTTTTAAGGTTTTTAAAAAGCTAAACCCAGGAATCTGGCGTGTCTGCCTGCACGCGGCGGCGCGTCCAGCCTGCCCACGTCGAGCTCTGGCGCCCGGCGTCCCTCGACAGCGGCCGTGGGGCTGGCTCCCGTGCGCCTCACTCCTGTGCGATGCTCCTCAGCACATACTTGACTGTGTAGGCGAAGGCCGCAAACCCAACTATAACAAACAAGTTCGCCAGGGCCCCGCCCAGGAGTCCGTGGTGCCGGTTGGCCTGCTGGAGCCCCGCGAGGTTCGGGCCGGCCCCCGGCGCGTGCCCGTTGAGCAGCGGCATCCCGTTCTGGCCGTGGTGCGTCTCCCCGTCTGGAACCACGTCTGGCAAGGGGAGAGTCTGGGGCCTGCTACTCAGTTCGTCTTGTGCTTTCTGTTTTTGTTTAATTTCCTGAGAGAAAAACGCAAGAAATGATGGTTGGTCTAAATAAACCAGCTCCCTTAGACCACACTCCCGATCCCAGGAGCTCACGAGCCACCATCAAGGAGGAAGTTCCCCTCACTGTGTCAAACCCCGACACCCAGGTGGGCTCGGCTGCAGCCCCACTGGACAGGTGAGGGGAGTGAGTGTGTGGCCATCCCTGAGCCTGGGCCCCACGGCCCCAGCATTCCGCTCACAGCACGGAGCATCTGAGCCACCAAGGCCCCACCCACCACGCTACAAGCCCCGTCTGTGCCCAGCCCTCACTGCCTGAGCCAGATCCTCCATGCCCGCCTGGGGAGGCCCTGAGGCCAGCCAACCCCCACTGGCCCTGCACACAGATGCCTCCAAGCCCTCTGCCCCGCCAGTGTGCACCTGGAGGCCATGGGCAGACCCCTCTGGGCACTGCAGCCTGAGAGGCCTGCAATCCCTCAGGGACACCTCTTCTCTTTGGAAAGAATTGAAAGGAAGTTTGTAACAAAGGGGAAGGCAAAACTGATTTCCAACTTTCACTTTCTTACCTCCACAACTTCAGGAAATAATTCACAAAAGACCTTATCTTTTAAATTAAACGCTAAACTTTGCGCTGCCAGCTGTCTTTTCTAGGAAAAAAGAGAAGGGAATTATCACCAGAAAGCTTGGTCCAGTTCTCTCAAAACCCTGAACACAGATCAGAGTCAAGGGCTACTGTCTTGATGTTGCAGAAGCACTTAAGCTCATGCTTCACAACAAACTTACAGTCCTAAAAAGATTTATCTTTGTTCTTTTCTTTTTTTTTTTCACAAGAGGGTCACGCTCTGTCGCCTAGGCTGGAGTACAGTGGTGTCATCACAGCTCACGGCAGCCTCCAACTCCTGGGCTCGAGTGATCCTCCTGCTTCAGCCTTCCAAGTAACTGGGACTACAGGTGCACAGCACCATGCCCGGCTAATTTTTGTATTTTTAGTGGAGACACTCTTGCTCAGGCTGGTCTCAAACTCCTGGGATCAAGCGATCCTCCTGCCTTGGCCTCCCAGAGAGCCAGGATTACGGGTATGAGCCATAGTGCCTGGCCTATCTTTTCATTATCAATTAATAACATTAGAATTGATTCTTATTTTAAAAAACAGAAAAATAAAAACAAGCTAACAAGAAAATAGATGTCATAAGGCCCTGCCCTCTGTGGAGAGGCACCGCCACAGCCCAACCCCCTCCAAAGTCGAGAGCCCAGAAGGCATGGACAGCAGGTCCAGACAGCCAGGGCCCAATGTGGGTAAAAGCAGGGTCTAGCGGCAAAGAGGACATGAGACCAAGGAGCCCAGGACAGAGTGACCTCTACAATGTCCCTGGGAAGCGGGGACACAGGCAAAACCCTGCACAGCGCCCGCCTGCTGAGGAGAAAGGCAGCTGCATCTCAGAAACAGAAAACAGCCCAGACACGTGGCGGCAGGCCAGGGTGCCACCCCGCAGGCGCCCAGAGAGGGGCCTCTCTCTCCACCTCACCGTGAAGTCCGACGTCTCTATACTGCCCAGGGTGGGGCCCTTCTCCACCATGAAGCTCAGGAGGCCGGTCAGGATGGTGGACACAGACCAGGCCGGGTTCCACGTGTCGGGATGGAAATCCGTGATGGACAGACACAGCCTGCGAGAGAGGGGCTCCGTCAGCAGGCGCACCCCCACACAGCACGGCCGCTTCTGCAGCACACGGCTCCCGGGAAGCCTTACCTGGTATTGCACTTAAATCTTCCACTGGGAGTTATCATATAAATACTAGGAGGTTTGAAAGGAAATTCTCTGGGAAAAATTAGTTTTCCGTGGTAATAGCCACCTACATCAAACAGAAAAGGAAAGAGCTTGTCACTGTCCACAGAAAGACTGCTCACGGTTTCAACCCCCAGCCCACCCACCACCCCACCTGATCCAGCACCCTCACTGCCTGTGCACCCCACACCAGCTCAGGGTCTACACCTGCCACGGCTCCCGCACCTCTGTTCCAGGCCCATCCACACTCCCCTCACCAAGAGCAGGGTCAGAGGGAACATGCAGGGGCCTCTAGTGCGCCAGGAGCTCGCGTCCAGCCAGGTCACCCCTCCTTGCCGCAGGCTCCTGCACGACCCATCTCCCCCACCCAGCTGCATCCAGCGGCCAGCAAGCTGCACCTGAAACACAACCACACTCTCCACTCACCCCCCCAATTTCTGCCAACTGCCACCGCCCTCATGTGGGCTCCCTAGACAGCCTGGCCAGCAGCCATCTCCAATTCTCTCCTGCCAAGCTCCCAGGCCCCCCGACCGGGCTCTTGCTCCCACCAGGGTCCATCAAACCTGACCCTGAGGCCACCCAGACATGCCTGCTAGTGTCTGGCCCCCACTCCCAACCCGCTGCCTCACACCCTGTCCTGGCCTGGCTCCTCCCCTGCACACCCTTGGCCTCCCCTGGAGCTGCTCACCCTCTTGGGGTCTCACCCAGCCTCATGGCTGTCCATCGGGAGTCCTGTGACAGGTCGCCAGCCAGAACCGCCACTGGAATGATGGACCATGCTTGCCAAACTCCAGACGGCGGTGCTGTCCACACAGCACTGCCCCAGACACCACACCCAAGACAGAATCCCTGCAGTTTCTGAAATAGCAGCCCTATCCTCTCAGTCCTTCAGACTAAAACCCGGGAGGCACCCCCCACATCACACCCACTCCATCAACAAACCCTGTCAGCCCCACCTTCAAATCAGTGCAGAGCCCAACACTCTGGACAACCCCCTCCCAGCCCGAGACCTCACACCTGGCTGCTCAGCTACATCTGAGTTGCTGGGAAATGCAGAGCTTCGGGCCAACCCTGGCCACACGAGTGTGCGTGTGCACACACCATCGGGTTGAGGAGCCTCTGTCCTCCCGCTGGGCTCCCCGTGCATGGTCCTGCCTCAAGGACCGTGGACACACTAGTCTCAGAATCACCACAGGTCCCCCTGCTCCAAAGCCACCCCACAGAATGCAGCCCCTCTCATAAGAGCTGCACTTCTTGTGATTAAGTCCTATAATTTTGTAACAGGTTGCCTCAGAATCCACTTTAAATCTAAGCTGGACTTCATCACACCAGAAGCAGGGCTGTCACTGACAGTCTCAAGTTCTATGCCACCCACCCCATTGCTCTAGGCGGTGCCCTCATGCCCCGCCCCAGGGCTGGCTCTCGCAGACTTGCAGGACAATTGTGTCGTCAACAGTGGAAAGATGACGGGAGCAAGGGTCACCTGTGAAGCCAGGTTGATGTGCAGACAAGTCAGCCAGCGAGAGGCTGGCGTGCCAGAGATGACACTCAGGACACCCAGGATCACAAAGAAATGACCTACTGGAAAACGAGCACAGTCAGGAACAGGCGCACTTCCCGAGAGGGAGCAGGAACAGCAACATGCGCCTCAAACTACACTCAGCTCGGCAAGGATTGGGAGATGGGATTACACAGCAAGGAAGGACGCCAGTTTAGCTTGGGGGGAGGCGGGCGCCCACCTGCCTCATGGCCAGGAAGCGCCTGCTGGCTGAGATGCGCACACAAGGGCACTGAGAGCCAGAGGCCCAGCGCCGCACAGGTGAGAAACTGGGAATATCCACTTGTCCTTTGAATGCAACGGTTGGGGGCGGATGCAGTGGCTCACCCCTGTCATCTTAGCACTCTGGTAGGCCGAGACAGGAGGATTGCTTGGGGTCAGGAGTTCGAGACCAGCCTGAGCAAGAGCGAGACCCCGTCTCTAATAAAAATAGAAAGAAATTAGGCAGACAACTAAAAATATATAGAAAAAATTTGCTGGGCATGGTGGCACGTGCCTGTAGTCCCAGCTACTCGGGAGGCTGAGGCAGGAAGATCACTTGAGCCCAGGAGTTTGAGGTTGCTGTTAGCTAGGCTGACGCCACAGCACTTTAGCCCTGGCAACGGAGTGAGACTCTGTCACCAAAAAAAAAAAAAAAAAAAAGAATAAGGGTTGGACCAACATCTTGACTCCGAGTGGCCCTTGGACAGCCAGGTGCTCCAGACCATTTGCCAAAAAGGCTGTGCTGCCCCCGCCAAGCCACACTTGCTCCTTCGTCAAACCTGGCTGGCTGCTGATGTGCAGTGTTGCACCTGGGTTCTCTATTTGGCCTGTGGTCTGTTTCTCCCTTGACCAGCACTGGGCCCTTCTCGCCAAAATCTTGAAACTCCTGATTCTACTTTTTTCTTCTTTTTAAAAATTGTTCCAGTGGCCGGGTGTGGTGGCTCACGCCTGTAATCCTAGCTCTCTGGGAGGCTGAGGCAGGTGGATCGTTTGAGCTCAGGACTTCGAAACCAGCCTGAGCAAGAGCGAGACCCCATCTCTACTATAAATAGAAAGAAATTAATTGGCCAACTAATATATATAGAAAAAAATTAGCCGGGCATGGTGGCGCATGCTTGTGGTCCCAGCTACTCAGGAGGCTGAGGCAGCAGGATTGCTTGAGCCCAGGAGATTGAGGTTGCTATGAGCTAGGCTGACGCCATGGCACTCACTCTAGCCTGGGCAACAAAGTGAGACTCTGTCTCAAAAAAAAAAAATAATAAATAAAATAAATAAAAACTGTTCCAGGCCGGGCGCGGTGGCTCACCCGTGTAATCCTAGCACTCTGGGAGGCCGAGGTGGGCAGATCGCTCCAGGTCAGGAGTTCGAAACCAGCCTGAGCAAGAGTGAGACCCCGTCTCTAAATAGAAATTAATTAGCCAACTAATACATATAGAAAAAATTAGCCAGGCAAGGTGGTGCATGCCTGTAGTCCCAGCTACTCAGGAGGCTGAGGCAGCAGGATTGCTTGGGCCCAGGAGTTTGAGGTTGCTGTGAGCTAGGCTGACGCCACGGCACTCACTCTAGCCTGGGCGACAAAGCAAGACTCTGTCTCTAAAAAAAAAAACAAAACCTGTTCCAGTTACTCTAGGTCCTTTGCCTTTTTTTTTTTGAGACAGAGTCTTGCTCTGTCACCTGGTACCTGGGTGAGTGCTGTGGTTGTCAGCCTAGCTCACAGCAGCCTCAAATTCCCGGGCTCAAGCCATCCTCCTGCCTCGGCCTCTTGAGTAGCTGGAACTACAGGTGTACCCACCATACCCGGATACTTTTTCTATTTTTAGTAGAGACAGGGTCTTGCTCTTGCTGAGGCTGGTCTCAAACTCCTGACCTCAAGCGATCCTCCCACCTCAGCCTCTCAGAGTGCTAGGATTACAGGCATGTCCTTTGCCTTTTCATGTGAATTTTAGAATAAGATTATGTATTCTACAAAAAACTTTACTGGGACTTTGATAAGGTTGTGTCAAATCTAAAGATTAGTTTAAGGGGAACTGTGTGGCAGCGCCTGTAGGAAGCCACTTTGGAGGTGCCAAGACAAGTGTGCCTGGAGAAGCCAGCCACAAAACAGCTGGGGAGCCCAGTGCAAGGACGGGCCTGCAGCCAACCACATGGCGCTAGACAGACGTGGACCCTGCGGAAGAGCCACAAAAGTCGGGAAGAGAGGCCAGAACATCCAGGTGTCAGGAAGGAAACGGTCGTCACTAGAGGCCAGGACACCAAGGACTAAGAAGAGCTCCTTGGACGTGGCAACGCAGAGGGCCTCCCTGGAGACCTGATGAGAGACGCAGAGGGCAGCTCCCAGTGACGGGGCAGGCAGCTGGGGTGGGGGCAGCAGTGGCTGCTACTGTGTGGGGAGGGAGAAGAGGAGGGAGAGGAGGCAAGGGTTCCATCTCTGAAGGCACCTGCATAGGGAAGACTGGGCACTGGGCACATTCGAGCCTGGGGCCAGTACCAGCAGAGAACCATGTTGGGGAGGCCTCCACAATGGGGCACAAGGTGAAAGCACAAGTGACCGGGCCAGTGCCCAGGCCCCAGAGGAGCTGCCCCCTCCCTGCTATGTCCAGCCCTGTGGGAGGCAGCTCCTCTCCACCAGCAACAGCCCTGGCTGGTCTTTCTGGGGTCTAGCTACGAGATTAATAAATATTCACTATTTGGGAAATATTAAAACCACAAAACAAAACAATTAAGAACCCAGCACAATCCCATCTGCCAGATACAACCACCACCCATCGTGGTGCATATTCTTCAGGCCTGTTCGCAGCACACACCCGTCTGATGAGCATCTAGGCACGAGCTGCACACTGGTCCAAAGCCAGTCCTCCCCCTCCTCTCCAGGGACTCCTGGCCACAGCCCATCCTCTCCAGTGTCTGACATCACAAACACCACAATGACAACCCACCCTGCGGACGTGCTTCCCCCAGGCCAGATTATCCTGGAACTGGGATTCCAGGGCTTAAGTGAGAGGCTGCAGGTACGACTAGTGATACCTCAGCCACATTACCTTCAAGAGCTTGACCTTTTTTTTTCCTGACTGTCCTAAATTGTTATTACATATAAATTTTACAAACATTACTTATTAGCAGTAACGGCGGAGCTGGAGAGTATTGCGCCTTCTCCAAGCTGCATGGTGAGAAACACTAATAGTGTGGTGGAACTTATGGCCCTTTCCAAGGCCACGGCTCTTGTGGCCTGCAGATGTCAGCCCACGCATCTCCCAGTGTTTGTGGACCGGTTTCGTGATCCACTGGGTATCAGGATTTCTTCTGATAGCTTTATGGAATGGATCAATGAGGATAACCTCAAAAACTTTGTATGTGGAATCTTCACCAACCCAGTAAGAATTCGGGACTCTTAGAGCCCTGCAGTAGCGTCCAGCTCCCTCCTCGGCAACAGACTGAAGGCTTCCAGCAAACTTTAGCTGGTTAACACCATGATGGACAGGCTTGCCTTAGGTTGCACCCTTAGGAACTGGGCATTTGTGGCCACCACAGCACACAGGAATCCTATATATGACATAACCTTGCTTGGCCTTGTATCCCAGTCTGCTTGCTTTATACAGTCGGGTGGGGCGGGGAGCCCTGTGGAGCGCAGAGAGCTGGCGGCATTGCCACCAGCGGATCCTCAGAAGAAAGCGCATTCCATCAGACTGCTTCTTCCTCCACAGCTCCTGGATATACCTGTATGCACCCCATCTTGGCTTACCTGATGGCTGCCGCCAGACAGAAAGGAAAAAGCCTTTCTCCCCGAGCTTGACCTTTTCTACTCTGAACTACCCACAACTCTCCCCTGATAGTTCAAGGCAGTGGTTTGCAAACTCTCCTCTAGCAGCAGCACTCTTCTCTAGTGAAATCTCACACAAACCCCTACAGGAAGGCATATAAGAAGCCTGCTGCCCTGGCCACCTCAAGTCAGGACCTGGTGGCTGCAGAGCCAAGGCACTGCCCACCTGGCCCTGCTCTGCCCTGGGCTTGCCCCCAGAATGGTGTCCCTGGGTGCACCATCTCCGTGGCCCAGATCCTGAGGGTGGTGCCAATCTCCCCAAAGGCCCCAGAAACTTGCTGACTGATAGCTCCCAAGCCTACTTTGTAAACAACACCAAGGACCCAAGACCCTAGCTGGTATCTGGTGACGGGAGAGGTCAGGGCATTGGCTCAGCTGCTCAGCAACAGCTGGGGAAACGGAGGTGCCAGGCAGGCCCTGCAATCTCCCTGAGCCTCAGGTGTCCGTCCCTACGCGGAGGCACGTGCCTAGCGCAGAGACTGTTCTGAGGATCACAAGACACTCAAGTGCCCAGAACAATCTACACACTCAATAAATATGCTGCTCTTCCTTCAACAACGCTCACCTTGGTCCACTCTGTTTACCTTAGTCTGTTTTTCTCAGCTCCAGCCCCATGGCATGGGGGACTGATAAATGCTGACACTCACAGACAGCACCTAGAGATCTAGACATACTGGCAAAACCAAACTCTGAGCAAACGCTTGTAGGACTTGGGAGAAATACTAGGATGAGTTCCAAATAAGTCCAATTTAACAAATGCACATCCAAAATAAAAAATTGTTATTTGCAAATAAAACATGTTTCACAGGCAAAGTCTATTCAGAATATAAATACTGCCTCTTGTTCTACCTTAGAGCAGAACACTTACCTTCATAAGGGGTCATCTCAGGGCCTCGGACGACATAGTGCCTAAGGGAGAGAAAATAATTACTTGGGATTTGGCAATGGCAGATTCTCCAAAATCTACGTTTAGGGGACCGGACCACACAACACTGAGACATTCAGTCGGGAAACAACTAAAGGACAGCAGCGCTGTCCACAGCCCCATCCCAGTGCTGCAGGTGCCCCAGCCCACCTGCTGGCCTCTGTCTTGCTCCTGTATTTTCTAAAGCTGTCGTAAGGGACTTTCATTTCCACGATACAACATGCAAGAATTCTCTCTAATCACTAAGCTGAAGTTTTAAAGAAATTTTAATTTCATAACACGCTATTAAGATATACTTGGGGCCAAGGAGGCCAGATCCTTTGAGCTCAGGAGTTCAAAACCAGCCTGAGCAAGAGTGAGACCCTGTCTCTACTATAAATAGAAAGAAATTAATTGGCCAACTAATATATATATAGAAAATATTAGCTGGGCATGTTGGCGCATGTCTGTAGTCCCAGGTACTCGGGAGGCTGAGGCAGCAGGATCGCCTGAGCCCAGGAGTTTGAGGTTACAGTGAGCCAGGCTGACGCCACGGCACTCACTCTAGCCTGGGCAACGAAGTAAGACTCTGTCTCAAAAAAAAGACATACTTGGAAGTTTATTCTATAAAAATTACTCTTCATATTTCTTATATCACACACGTAGGCAAAGTTGGGCAGAGCTAGTGGCGTGAGCTGGCTCTCTGTCCCCCCACCTCGTGCTGACAGTCCTGGAAAAACCAGAAACAACCTCTGAGCGGCTGTGCTGGAAGAGGAAGAGGGACAATGCTGACCGTCCCCTCAGAGATCAACCTCAGACTAGGAGCAGCAACAAAAACTGATGCCATACTCCCCCACAGGAATAAATAAGGGTTTAGCTACGTGAGTTTTACAGATCCTCAAAACAGAAGAATGCAGGGAAGAAGGAAAAACTGATCAGAAATGCCAGAACCCAGACACAACTGCAAGCATTTAAGCGACTGTCCCAAATGCAAACACCCCTAGCCACCAGGACACGTATGCACGTCATTTTAATATTAATGGGATCACATGACACATGCTATCTACTAGCTGATATGTTATTTTTTAATTTTTAATTTTTTTTATTTTTGGAGACAGAGCCTCACTTTGTTGCCCAAGATAGAGTGAGTGCCGTGGTGTCAGCCTAGTTCATAGCAACCTCAAACTCTTGGGCTCAGCGATCCTCCTGCCTCAGCCTCCCAAATAGCTGGGACTACAGGCATGCACCACCATGCCCGGCTAATTATTTTCTATATATTTTTAGTTGGCCAATTAATTTCTTTCTATTTTTAGTAGAGATGGGGTCTCGCTCTGGCTCAGGCTGGTTTCGAACTCCTGACCTTGAGCAATCCTCCCGCCTCAGCCACCTAGAATGCTAGGATAACAGGCATGAGCCACCGCGCCCGGCTTAGCTGATATGTTTTACTTATAAAATACCGTGATCATCTGTCAATGGATCTGAACTGAGTGGCTTAGAGTTAAGTACACCACACACCCAGAAACATGGTCTTAATTTGTCACTGCTCTCAAATTCTGTGCCCAATCTGAGAAAACCGGGAAAAGACAATGAATCTTCCTGAGACAGAGCCCAGCAGCCCTGGGAGAGCAGAGAGCCCCAGGCTCATCTAAGTCCTTTTATGGAAAAGCCCCTTTCCTCTCTCAGCTGAGGGAAGGAGTGCTCCGGGCAGGCCTGATGCCGCCGTCTTGAGGTGGCGCCCAGCACCCCGCTAGTAAGAGGGGTTCGCTGCCTAGTGCTCACACTGCGGAAACCCGCTCTCCTTCTGGAGTCTGGAACTTTGGTGGGTGCCAGGCATAAGGAGCCAACCAGCCCCCCCTAAAATCCCTGGAACTGAGTCTGATGAGCCTCCCTGGTGACAGCACGTCAAATGGGTCATCCGAGCTCGCTGCTGGGGAACTAAGTGCATCCCGAGAGAGAATTCTGGATGCTTGTGTGTGGTTTCCCACAGGCTTCATCCCACGTCTCTTCCCTTTCCTGACTTTGCTGTCTTTTCACCGTAATAAATGTTAACAGTGAGTATTCCCTGTGAATTATTGAACCTGGGGTGGTCTTAGAGACCCCCAACCCAGAGAGTCACATGTGGGGAGGGGTATCCTACATGGTGACATTTTCCCACAATTCAGGGAAGAAAGAGGTCAGCTGCTGGTGGAACCTGCCAGGGCTAGGCTTTCTCTGTAAGCTGGGGAAGGTGACCCCTGTCCAATCTGGAAAACACCTTTTAACTCAGTTAAATCTCTAGTCTCTGGATTTAAAAAAAACTTAAAGTATTTTTTAACGATCAAAAATAAACCATCCTTCAGCCGGGCGCGGTGGCTCACGCCTGTAATCCTAGCACTTTGGGAGGCCGAGACTGGCGGATTGCTCAAGGTCAGGAGTTCGAAACCAGCCTGAGCGAGACCCCGTCTCTACCAAAAATAGAAAGAAATTAATTGGCCAACTAAAAATATATATATACAAAAAATTAGCCGGGCATGGTGGCGCATGCCTGTAGTCCCAGCTACTCGGGAGGCTGAGGCAGTAGGATTGCTGAGCCCAGAAGTTTGAGGTTGCTGTGAGCCAGGCTGACACCACGGCACTCACTCTAGCCTGGGCAACAAAGTGAGACTCTGTCTCAAAAAATAAATAAATAAATAAATAAACCATCCTTCAAACAAACAGAAAATGCTTTTTTAATACCTCAGGCTTACACTTTATTTCTTAGAAAATCACTAGAAAACCCAGTAATGGTAGCATTTCTATAGAGATGTGTGTGGTCTCCTAACTCTGTGCTTTGGCGAAAGAGCTACTATGAAATGAACACTTACCAGACACAGGTCCTCTCATTGTCAGCCCAAGGCTCAGGAGCACCTGGGCTGGGCCAGCGCCAGGGGCTGGGGTGTCAGGCCCCTGGTCCTGTCATGAATGCTCTGAGGCAAGGCAAGCTACTGCCAGCGCCCAGAGCAAAGAGTAGCAGGGGAAAGTCTAGAAATGTAGTTTTTCTCTAAGTACCCAACTCACAGGATGTACATGATCAACAGCTGTGAGCCCTGCACACCCCAAATCCTCCCAAGGACTCCTTAGGAGGGATTCTCGTTCTGACCCCAGCCCCAGTCTAACAGGACTCTGTGGAGGCCCTGGCATGCCGTCCACTGGGAAGGGCAGAGAGTGTCCTCGAGCTCCTCAGTGTCTACTCACACCCGAGGAGGGGCCAGGACTGCCCCTCAATGCCAGGACCAGGAGCAGCAGGCTCGCCCAGCCAGGCCAGCAGAGAGGGGTGAACAGCAACACAGAGCCTTACCATTCGAGAATATTTGAAGGGAGTGGCTCGGCACAGATGTAAGGCACTGGGTCTTTCTTAATTCGAAGGTAGTCCTGCTTTAGTCTCTGCGTGGCTGTTGTTGGAGCTCTCTTATTGCTGTTGTTGCTCATCTGTTAAAAACAAATGTTTACATTTATAGAGAATAAGAGACATGGGACCACAGCTCTTCTCACCCCAAGATGGCTTCAGCAGCCAAGTTCCTCTGCTCTTATTTCTGCAGCCTGTAATTCATCCAGGCCCCAGTCCTAACATGCACAGCTCATGCCAGGCACCCAGAGGCACAGCCCACAGGTCACCCTGCCCTGCCACCCACAGGCCCTCAGTATTCTTTCCCATCTATTCTGCTACTGCCGTCATTCCTGCCAAGAATGGCACAGATGCAAGACAAAGAGAACCCCAAAGCCCCACTCTCATCCTCAAAGAATCTGAATGTGGACAAGAACAAAAACTTAAAGGGCCACAAGCAGGTGTGCTGAAGCCAGCCTGGACTAGTCCCTGAAAGCAGCCCGCCACGCCCAGCCCATGTACACCTTCTAAATCTGAGCTCAGTGGGGCCTCATGGATGGAGTATTCACAACACAGAAACTGGTCAGCACCCCAGACCAGCTCCATCTGCCCCCACCCCAAAGTTTGCTGGCCACTGTTTACCACTGGTCATCAGCACAGGGCTGGAGGCTGCAATGGGGGAGGCTCTGGAGAGACCCCGAGGCACTGGCTGGCAGAAGAGAAGTCATGCTTTCCAGGCAGAGTCTCAGAGAGTGCAAGGTGCCTGGGGACAGCACTGGTCATTGTGTCAGGAACCCAAGCACAGTGGGGAGGTGACTGGCCAGGGAGGCAAGCCCAGGGCAGTGCCAAAAGGGCTTTAGGTCCAAGACTTTAGGCAAATCACGTCTTCTGTTAGAAAAGTCACTCTGGTGGCTCGGGGGGAACATGTTGGACAGCACTGAAGGCTGAGCACAGGGAATGAGGAGGAGCCACCAATCAAGAAAAAAGACTGGGTCAGGGACCTGAGGAGATGGTGGTGATGGGGACACTGGACTCCCTACTGCCAGACATTAAAATAGCTCCAACTTGATCTCTTGTATACTGGAATTTCTCATAAATTAAGATGGAAAAGCAAAAAGTTCTGCAACTAAAAATAAAGTGTGAAACCACTGGTCTACAATATGGTAATGACGACGTGGAGATGTGCAGGATGGAGCACAGAGGAAGGAGCAAAAGATGCTCCCTGGGCTGGAAGGGGCAGGCTGGACGTGGGCAGTGGGGCAACATCATTCCCAGGCCACCGCAGACTTCTTCCAACAACTCTGCCACTCAGGCTTCCCAACCTGTCCCACACTGTGCTCTCTGGCCAGAAGCTTTACTGGCGGTCCTGGACAACAGTGGCCATCAGCAATGGCCAGTGACCTCCATCTGACTTCCCAGTCCTCAGAAACCCGAAGTCAACCCTGCCCAGCCAGGGGGTTCCCTGTGGACAGCTGCACACTTGCTGGAGAGGTCTCCGTACTCTCAGCCCCTGTGCCTGGCTTAGTGTCTAGTGTCTGCCTCCCCAACCAGTGTCAGCTCCTGGTGGCGACCAGGGCTCGGTGTGCTCCCTCGTACCCCCGTGGGCTCTGCTGGGGCACCCGCAGTGGCCCTCCCACATGGTGTGCCAACCTTGCTCCTTGTTCTGGGGTCCCTGACTTTGCAAGGCTTGTTCACCTCCTTCCTGCTCACCCTAAGGCAGGATCTCATTATTTTTCCAACCAACCACCACAGCAGCCTCCTGTGTCTCCCAGTTGGCCCAGGCATCTCTGCTTCTAGTCCTTTCCCATCTCAGGTCCTCTTGTACATGTAAGTCAATGCAAAATTCTGATCATCCACTCCCCCAATGGCCCTCCAGGATCCCCATCAACATCTCCTGTCAGCCCATCTCCTGACAAAGCAGCTCTCCTGGCTCCCAATTCCCAGGACCTCTGACACAGCCTGAACTCCAAACCCCTGACTAACCCACCCCTGCTTCCCAGTCCGGTCTACAGGTGGAAGACTCACCAAGGCCCTTCCCAGCCTTGCTTGAGGGCCACCCGTTTCAGAAGCCTCCCTGACTTCCCTAGACCAATGCTTCCCACTCGGACCTTCACATGACCCAACACATCTAGCAGGGGCCATTCAGGCCTAGCAGACGTAAGGGTGGGCTCCTTTGCCTGGCCCTGCCACAAGTGCCCCCACCAAGATCAGGGCTGCAGTCCTGCCTAGAAAGGCAGTGCTTCCACACAGCATTGTCACAAAGCTCCTGGCTCGAAAAGCCACATGGGCCAGGGCACTCACCTGAGGCCAACACCTAGCAACACAGCAACGACCCACAAGCAGAACCACTAAGCAGGACTTGTTTTGTTTTTTTAAATGTTCACCCTCAAGTTAACACTCCACCATATGCAAAATAACTCTGGCTGATTCAAATACACCTGTATTTGGACTTAGGTGAGTGGCCAGATCGGATGCTTCATCAGTTAGTGGACATTAAAAAAAAAAAAAGTTAGTGAACAGGCACAGAAAAGTGAAATAGGTCCTGCCTGGCCAGTTGCAAGCAAACTTCTGCCTCATCCTTGCTGGGAGAGACATGATCTTTAAAATCATATTTATGATCCAACCACTCAGTTTCCTCAACTATGCCTCCTTTGCCTCACTCAGAATACTCTCATGTCCCCTCCTAGAGGTTTCAGGGGACTGTTTCTCCGAATTCTTCCCATCCACACACGAAAGCAGGAAAGACAGGGAAAATAAAAAACCCCAAAATCAAATTAAAATGTGAAAACAGAGTATAAATGCATGTGTCTCGGGGGTTCCTTCAATTAAGTCCTGAGAAACATAGGACATAAAGAGCATCATACTGTAGGGGGTGGACAGTTAAAAAATAAATAAATAAATAAATAAATAAATAAATACTGTTGACACATGGAAACTCCAGGAAAGCAACCTGAATCACCACCTAGGGCAGGGGCCCTTCGGTCCCATGGCATTGTGTGAAGCAGTGGCTGCCCAGAACACATCCACCCTGTTCCTTTTTCTCCAGACATCTCCTTCCTGCTCTGAGTATGGGTAACTCAGGTGAGGTGATGCTGTACCATGAGACCTTGGCCTGGAGATCAGACAGGCACATGACACACCCAGGCCCAGGACTCTCACGGAAGTATCTTCCCTCTCCACCAGGATTGCTTCACAGGCTGGATGAAAGCCCAGGGCTGATGGAGGCAGCCCCACCATCACTCACACACACACCTGCCTGGGAATGGAGCTGCCACAGGTCAGCAGTGCCAAGCTGTGCATAGATGACTGATAGCAAGTGGTAGGCACCTAGATTCAACCACGTCTGAGGTCTATATGCTGGGCTTTTCGATTAAAAGAGATACTCAAATTCACTTCTTTTGAAACCAGATTACACCAAGATTCACTCGCCTGGATCAAACAGAGTCCTGAACCACTGCTGTGTCCACACATAAACCTGTGTGTTATAACGCACGTATAAGCTGCCTTCCCGCTATGCTATGGGCTTACCTCCCTTTAGCTGCTTCACATCTGGGTCTGGCAAACCTGCTAAGTGATATGCACTGAGAAGGAAACTAGAAGATTACACCTGGTCAGAGACTGAGCTGATGCCCTAATTAGCAGGTGTGGACAGCGAGGCCCAGCACAGATTAAGGGTCTTGGTTCAGGGCCCAAGTCCCACTCCAGCCGGCCCACAGTGAAGCGAGACTCCGGCTTCCCACTCTCACTGCCTGGATTTTTTTATTTCACACCCAGAGACACACTCCTGAGCACACTCGTTTCTGTTGGGATTTATGAGGCAGTATGGGGTTCGAACTGTTGAGGGGGGAAGCGATGGAGGGCTCAACGGCAGCGCCCTCCCGCCAACACAGACTCCCCAGGATACATTTACGAACCAAGGTCAACGCTGGCTCGTCCTGGAAGTACCCGCAAGTGTCCCAACTGACAGCAGACCTTCTCGCGGGAGGCCCCGCCGTGCGGCCAACCAAGCCCCCAACCTGGCGGGTGGACCACCCGGCCCCGAGCCCCGGGCGCCCCGTCGTAACCGACCTCCGGCTCTGCGCAGAGACGCTCTGGGCCGGGGCTCCGCGGGCGGCGGGAGAGAACGGAGACAGGCGGTGCGGAGTCTCCCGCAGCCCCGCGCCCCCGGCCCTCCGCTGCGGCCGGCTCCGCTGGGCGGACGAGCAGTCCGAGGCCCCGGCGCAGGCGGGCGCGCGCGCTCACCTCTCCCCGTCGCCGCGCGTGGGCCGCCGCCGCGCTCAGGCTCGCCGTGGTCGAGGCCGGAGCAGGGTGCGGAAGAGTGGGGCCCACTCCGGAGAGAGCCGCACCACGCCGGGACCGGACCGCCGCAACCGCCGCAGCGCCGCCGCCGCCTCCGCCTCAGCTTCCAAGATGGCCGCCCGCGGGGCGGGGCGCGGCCCCGGTTCCGCTTCCGGTGTACGGTTCGCTGTGTCGGCCGCTCTAGGCAGCCTGGCGGACGACGCCTACGTCTCAGTCACCTCCTGCCCCTTGGAGCCTCGCGGCCCCGGCCTGCGAGGACGGTCGGCGCGTGCGTACTGGCGGGCAGCTCCGCGGGGCGGGGCTCCGGGGTGGAGATGGTTTGCGCGTGCGCACTGGCAGGAAGTTCCATGGGGTCGTCCCAGAGCTTCTGGGTCGGTCTCGCAGTGCAGTCTCCACCCTGGGGCCGCCCCTCGGCCGCTTGAGGGTCCCGGAGCCGCCCCGGGGCCCCGTGTCCCGGCGCGTGGGCGACATGCGCACGGTCGCCCCAGCACCAGCAGGTGCCCCGTTGGAGCCGGCCCTGCACTGCGCGGGATGCGCAGGTGGGCGCAGGCCTCTCCGCCTTGACTGGGGGACGCCGGGGCGCTGGAGGTTTGGAGAGCGGTGGGGCTGGACCCCGGCCGCCTGGGAGGCACAGTTGCACTGCGAGGCAGGTGGCAGACGACGGCCTGGACAGGACCGAGCGCAGGGGGAAGAGGTGGCTGGCCAGATGACAGCTGATGGCCAGGAGGAGAGGGTAGGTGGGGGCCGTGTTCCCGGCACCTGAGGCAGGTCTGAGAAGTTGCCGCAGGGCTGGCCCCTGGCCCTGGGCAGAACCCAGGATGCCCATGTGTCTCTCAGTCCATCAGGGGGTCCCCCGTGGGGATGCAGCCTCCACTCTGTCACCAGGCCCCACCTGCTGCTGCCCTCAAGAAATATGTTAGCCCGGGCTCTGCTGTCCCCACACAGGGTGGGCAGAGCTGCTTTTAGAGCGTGGAAAGTTACATAAGGAAGGTCATCCAGGCTGAAGGTACGAGCACACCTGTGCACACTCACAGCCACCACCAGGAGCTGCGGCCTGGGACAGATCAAGGCCCTCCTCTGCCTCACTTTGTCTCGGAGTCAATGTCCTATAGAGACAGTGCAAGTGCCGAGAGCATCTTGGCAGGATGGCTGCAGAGGGGTGGGCTCAGAGCTTCCCCCAGACCCCCTGCCTCCTGCTCACCGAGCCACACACCAAGGGAGAAGGCATCTGAGACAGGTGTGGCCAGCAGGTCCTGCCAAGACACCATGGCCCCACCTACCCATATCTGCAACCTTGTGGTCAGTGGGACGAGGGCTCAGTGCACTGGCCACAGAGCTGAAAACCTTAGCAATTGGGATGGGGAGCAGGGAGCTAGGCTGGCAGCAGGTGGTGACTGCAGCCTTCTCAAACCCCAGGACCATGCCTCCTAGGGCAGGAGCCACCTTTCTGCAGCAGGAAGGCCTGGGGTTAGCCTTCTGGGGGGACTTCCTGCCAGCACTGTAGAGCATGGGCCATGGAGGCTGTGCCCCTACCCTGTCCAGGGCTCCTGCCCCCACGGGAAGGCCGAGGGGGTTACTGCTCCCTACGAGCTGCCCCTTGGCTAAACCAGACCCCTCTGGCCAGACCTGGGCTCCCCAAGACTGGGCTGTCCCACTAGCTCATTCCTGTGATGCAGGGAGGCACAGGTTGCTCCGGGTTAGGTTGTGCAGAGCGAGCCTGGGGCCTTTCCCTCCTGCTGCTGTGCACCTCCTTGGGCAGCACGTGCCCTGATCTCCACTCATGAGGAAGCTGCTCAGAGGGGAAGGCCAGACGCCAGGTCTGGGCCGGATCTGGGGCCCCTGCCACCGGCCTACAGCACTGATAGCAGCAGCAGCTGGGCCCTGCCTTGAGCTTGGAGAAGTGCTCTACCCCATCTCACATTTGAGGAAGCAGATTCAGAGAGGTTGAAGATCCTGCAGCCAGTGACAGAGCTGTGACTTGCACCTGGGCCTGGGAGGGACCAGGGCCAGCTCTTCCTTAGTGTCACTTCCCCTTCCCGGGACATCTCCAGTGGCTGCTGCCTCCCTCCAGAGCTACCAGACTGGTGACCTCACCCCTCCTCAGAGCCGAGACTGTGCCGGCTGGACCCAGGTGCTCCGTTTCCGAGCCCAGCACCAATGGGCTGGGTGGTCAGGGCCCCAGAGCTGGCTGGAGGTGAGACAGGACCCTAGCCCATCCTCAAACCTGGGACCAAGCTGAGGGATTGGTCATTAGGAACGGTGAAGTCCCCAGTGGGACAGGGATGGAGACAGCCCTGCCATCTGCATACCATCTAGCCACAGGTTTTAGGTGGGAGACAGCCCAGGTGGATTGAACGCATGCTGTGCATCTGGCATGTGGCATGTGGTCTCAGCATGTGATGAGTCCTCTTAGTGCATGGTGCGGTAGGTGATGGTCTTGGTATCCAGTGGGGAAGGTGAGCCCTGTGCCCACTTGGGACACCAGGTGCCACCTCCACAGCCAGGCCTTAAGTGGGTCTCACAGTTGTACCCATCCCAGTGGCTGGGCAGCTGGTTCTGAGGGACACCTGGGTGCTGGGAGCAGAGGCCCCCACCCAGCATCCCTGAGCCATAAACACCTGTGGTCATACCTGTGGTGTGAGCTGGGCAGGCACCCCTCCTAGACCTGGCAGGACATGAATGGGAAGGGGAATGAGAGGCCAGGGCACAGCAGGCTCTGAGTTCCAGGAGCCAGGGAGGACAGAGGGGCATCCAAAGGGGTCTTGGGCCAACATCAGCCTCTCCTCTTCCTGCAGAAACTGCCACCCAGGACCAGGGCCCGGCCTCACTGGAGGTGCACCTGGTAGGGAGGCCCCACATCTTCATGCCCAGAACTCCCCTCCTGGCTCCTGCTGCTGGCAGGACCAGCCTGGGCCAGGATAGAGGCAGGGCTAGCACAGACCACACCCCTAGCACAGCGCACAGAGGGTGCAAGACGGCCCTCCCCACGGCTGTCTCTGGAGCTGCGGTCCAGCTCTTCCCTCCTTTCTGTGCCGGAGTTTCTGGAACTACCACTCAGACCACAGCCCTGGCTCTGCTGCTGGGCTCCTGCCGGGACACGGCTGTCCTAGGGCAGGGCCAGCCCTGCCTTAGGGATGCCCCATATCAAGCCAGACACCAGCCAGACGGCCACCAACTAGAGGCAAGATGTCCAGCATCCTGGGGGCCAGCTGGCTTCATTTCCCTAGGACACCTTGGGGCCTCTGGCAGGAGTCTCAGCCGAGGAGTTAGGCCAAGGTCCAGCCCCCTGGGATCCCAACACCTGAACCAGCCCTGCTGGGACCTTAGCGTCTCAGCCTGACTCTTAGACCTGTGACGGCAGGGGCTCTGGCCACCCAAGGGCCCAAGAGGCAGCACACCGTGGCCTGGGCAGGCACCCAGCACACCCAGTGCTCTGCTCGGCCACCAGCCTGCCTGGTAGTGGCCTCCTAGGTCTCCAGGAGGTCCAGGCCGGGGGCATGTCCCACCACTCTGGACTCCCAAGTGCTTGTGAGCAGGGGCAGAAGTGCTACCACATGGCCGTGTGTGTGTGTGTGGGGGGGTATGCAAGCCCCCATGCCTGGCACACCTGTGTGAAGCTGTGTGTGTACATGCTAGGCAGAGCTGCCTTGGCTGCAGGTGGCCCTGGAAGGCAGCAGGAGAGGCCCAGCCAGCACCTCCAATGACTTTGGGCTGCTTTGTAATAAAATCAGTGCTTCCACCTGGGGGCTGCTGCGTGTGCTTGCCTTCCCAGTCACCCCTGGCCCAGTGCGCTGCAAACCTGACTCCACCTGACACCTCCTTGGAGCAGACCCTCACAGCCATGCTGCCAGGGCAGGGGACGCTGGGCTCCAGGTGCCCTCGACAGCTGGCATCCAGCCCACCGGGGTGCAGTCTAGGCCACTGAAGGGCAGAGGAGCCAGGGAACGGGGGTAGGGGTGTCGGGAGTCAGATTCTGTCAAAGCCCCAGGCCCCCCACCTTGTCTGAGTATGAGCTGCGTCCTTCTGGGGGACACTGGTGCTGAGGGCTGCCCCCAGGGAAGGCGGGGACCCAGACACCCCAGCTGAGACAGAGCAGAGCACGGCAGGGAGCCAGTGGGCAGGCAGTGGGCGCAAGCGGTTTATTGACAGCGAGTGACTGATCGGAGCAGGAGGGCCGACCCCAGCCTGCGCAGGGCCGGGAGGAGGGGCCGAGCTCAAGCAGGGAGAGGAAGGGGTTAATTCTGCTCTTTAGGGGTCACAGCCAGCAGGCAGGGAACTGGGGGCCTCCCTCCCAGGCAGCATTTGCATAGTGGCCAGCTGACTGGCCTTGCCTACTGAGGGCCCACAGCTGGGAGGGAGGCCAAGCCTCTGTCTCGGGGCTCCTCCGGAAAAGGGGAACATGAAGGCATCGGGTCGGCCCCACAAAACAAGCTGAGGGGTCCCTGGACCCGTCGGAGGGCCCAGCCCAAGGAGCAAGGCTGGGAGGGCAGGAGCCTCCCCCAGGTGGGCAGAGCTGGGGTCAGGGTGGCCCTCAGAGTCCAGAGGAAGAGTCAGAACGAGGTCGCTGTAGAAAAATCCACTCGGGCGGCGACGGAATGTCGGGTGCCGGTGGAAAGTGGCTCTGTGCACAGGCCCCGGCTGAGTACCGGGAGAGGGGCCTCTGGAGGAGGCAGGGACAGGCCTGGGCCCAGCTGGCACCTGGGCCTGTGGGGCCAGCCACGTGGCCTTGGACGCCTGCGCCCAGCCAGGGATGAGGGCCCAGGCCAGAGCCCACCTGCCCAGCACCTGCCTGGACGCTGGGATCCCCACGTGAGGTACTCAGGTTGTTCCCTGGAAGGTGCTGGCAGCCACCAGCCCAGGGCCTAGCGCGGGGCTCTAGGGTGTGCGGGGAGGACCCAGCTCGCAGGTCCGTGTTCTGGGGCAGTCAAGTGGGGACGTGAGGTGGCATGGGCCTTGAGAGTGGTTTGTGACAAAAGTGAGCGACCCAGGCCCCCAGGGACGGGGTGACCTGGAGACAGAGGGTCCCCGGGTGGGGGGCGGGTGAGGGCACCAAATGACGCAGCACCTCCAGGGAAACTGGGGCTCCGGCAGACGCGGTGCCGGGGTCTGCTCCCATCCCCAGCGTCCCTCTCCTGGCCTGAGGGTCCAGGCGCTGGAAGGAGGGGAGAGAGGGGACCGGGCTCCCCCAGCGCCAGGCACTGGGGCTGTCGGAAATGGCCGTGTCGTCAGGGGTGGGGCTGCGGCTGGCGAGGGCCAGGGTCTTCAGGCGCGTGCAGGGCACCTGCCCGACCCTAGCTCTCCTCCAGGTGGAGGCTGATGAACTCCTGGATGCACCTGCGGTACTGGAGCTCCGTGGGGCTGCTGCCTGCCAGGGGGCCCGGCTGGCCCGGGGGCGCCTCGGCCTCCCGCATCTCCTCGGCCATGCGCGCCAGGCGGAGCCTTGGGGAAGGTGCAGAGTGAGGCACCCCCCCCCCAGCCTCCGCGACACCTCCCCACCACCTGCCCAGCAGCAGCAAGGGGCCACCCGTACTCACAGCGTGACGATGTCGGCGTTGGCCGCCTGCACCGCGATGCTCAGCGGGTCCTGCCGCTCCTGGTCCAGGGCGTGCTGGTCAGCCCCCCGCTTCAGGAACAGGCAGACCTGGCTGGGAGGTGCAGGAGGCCGTCAGGGCGGGAGGGCGTGGGATGGGAGGGGCGTTGGGGCTCTTGGACGGGGCTGTGCGGAGGGGGCGGGGCCATGCGGAGGGGGCGGGGCGCATGCCTCACCCGGTGCGTCCCAGCAGCGTGGCGTGGTGCAGGGGCGCTCGGCCCCGGCTGTCTCTTTGGTTCACGTCCGCTCCGTTTTGCAGAAGGAACTCGCAGGCGATTAACGAGCCCTGGGGAGCCGAGCCGGGGGCTCAGAGGAAACGGCCCCTGGCAGGACCCCTGCACTCCAACCCCCACCCCTCAGTGCCCCAGCTGGGACTGAGCCTGGTCCCCACAGGGGACAAGGGGCCCCGGGGCAGGGCGGCGAAAGAGCATATGCAGAGGATACTCCGTCCAGTGTGCACCGTGTCCCGCGCAGCCCCTGCCACGCTCACCCCTAGCACGGCCTGCACCAGTGGCGTCTTGCCCTCGTCCTCCGCGTCGACCCAGTTGACCTCGGCCCCATGGGCCAGCGCCGCGACCAGCGCGGGGAGGTCTCCGGTGCGCGCAGCTCGGTGCGCCAGCAGCCCAGGGTGCAGCTCGCGCACATCCGCCAGGCCCCAGGGCTCAGCCTCAGTGTCTGCGTCCACCTCGCTGCTGGACTCCTCGGACTCTGCGCCCTCTGCGGGGAGCGGGGAGGTCAGGGGCAGTGGCCCCGCGGGATGGGGCGCATGCTCTGGGGCTGGGGAGATCCCACCTACCCTCCTCCCTGACGCTGTCCACCACAGAGCCCGCGCCGAAGGCCAGGACGTCCGAGCTGCCGTCCGAGCTCCCACCCAGGCCACTGTCGCTGCTCAGACCTGCACCCAGCGAAGGGGATCCTGAGCATGCGGGTCTCTGACGCCTCCCAGGACCCCACCGCCCTGCAGGAGACACCCCTAGGAACAGGATCAGCCCCTGCTGGGGGACAGAAGGGAGCCCAGCCCAGGCTACATGGAAAGGAGAGAAACCAGTAACTGCTCAGAAGAGCCAAGGGCAACCGGCCACCAGCCCAGCCCTCCCCCAACTCCCCAACCCACCCTCGCCACCCTGTGGCCAGGCGGCAGGATGGGCGGGCCCGACATGCCCGTGCGCTTGCACCCTTTAGCCCTGCCTGTGGCCGGTGCAGGCTCGATGGTCCCTGCACTGGGCTCTCGCCAGGCTCTGGAGTCCCCAGCCCAGGCAGCAAGGGAGGGGGGAGCTCTCCGCCCAACTCACCAGGGACAGCAGCTGCCAGCGGAGGGCCAGAGGGTGGCGCCCTCTGCTGCCCACGGCCACCCCAGGTGTACACACACCGCCCACACACACTCACCCACACTTTTGCACACATCACTTTTTTCTTTTTTTTTTTTTTTGAGACAGAGTCTCACTTTGTTGCCCAGGCTAGAGTGAGTGCCGTGGCGTCAGCCTAGCTCACAGCAACCTCAATCTCCTGGGCTCAAGCAATCCTCCTGCCTCAGCCTCCCAAGTACAGGGCTTGGGACTACAAGCATGTGCCACCATGCCCGGTTAATTTTTTCTATATATATTAGTTGGCCAATTAATTTCTTTGTATTTATAGTAGAGACTGGGTCTTGCTCTTGCTCAGGCTGGTTTCGAACTCCTGACCTCGAGCAATCCGCCCGCCTCGGCCTCCCAGAGTGCTAGGATTACAGGCGTGAGCCACTGCGCCCGGCCTGCACACATCACTCTTGACAGTCAGGCCTCAGTCTCCAGGTCGGCGGCCCAGACACCCGAGCCCCTCGCCTGGCACCCTGGTCCAGCTGGTGGTGGGCAGCGGGGAGGGGCCCTCCCAACTCTTACTTCGAGGACCTGCGCCGGCAGCCCCCGCGTCGAAGTAGGAGAAGAGGGAGTCCAGCTCATCTGGGCAGAAGAGGGAGTCCCGGCGGAACCTGCGCTCCAGGGTGCCTGCTGCAGGGCGGGCCAGGCGTTCAGATGGGGCTCAGGCCGAGGATAGGGGGTCTGAGGGGGGCCCCAAGGTCTTGCTTGGAGTCCGACAGACCTCCAGGTGCTCCTCGAGCCCCCGGCTCTGGCCCACCCGGCCCCACCCCTGCCCTGCCATCTGTGGACCGAGGATGCAGTAGCAGCAGCAGCCTCCTACCTGAGGACAGGGCGGCGACACAGGGCAGGACGGGCTCCAGCCGGGCCTTGCGGAGGGCCGTGGGGGCGCGGGGGGAGCTGTGGGGGCGCGGGCACTTCTGTGCCCGCCAGCGCCTCGGGGCCTCTCTGGCTGGTGCGGTGGGTGGCTTCTGCAGAAACTTCCTCTCCACGTATTTGTCCTTGATCCAGGCCTCCTTGTCCTGCCTGGACCAGGGCACCCGTGAGGCCGCAGCCCCGCAGGCCGGCTCCCGGGAGGATCTGGGCCGCACCTGGCTCACCTGGGGCTGCTGGCTGTGGGCTTCCTGCTGCCCGCACCCTCGCACTGGGCCTCGTAGACCTGGTTCACGGTGCTGTTTCCCAGCTCACACATCAGCTGGCGGAGACAGGGCGTGCGGGCGTCAGTCCAAGCTCGCGGACTCCAGCTCCCGCCCCCTCCCCGGGGCCCGGCAGCCTTTGGCGGCCCCACGCGCACCTTCAGGAGCTCCGGCTCCCAGGAGTCCAGCGTCAGGGACCGCACCTTGGAGCAGTGGACGCCCAGGCTCCTGGAGGGCACAGGTGGGATGAGTCAGTGCCCAGCTCCGGCCCGGCCCCCGCCCAGCCCCAGCGAGCCCACCTGTGGATGCCTGAGCACTCGATGCACAGCAGCACGCCCAGGTTGATGCTGGCCCAGCGGGGGTCCGGCTGGCCGCAGTCGCCACACTGGCCGTTGCCGGCCACACTCTGCACACGCTGCAGCACGCTCTCGCCCTTGGCACCGCGCTCCCGGGAGTCCGTGGCCGAGTCGATGCTGCTCGTGGACGGAGACGCTGTGCGGTCCAGCCTCTGGGGGACGGGGTGGGGGCCGCTCAGTCCTGGGGGAGCTCCAGCCTCAGTTTCCCCAGCAGGTCCCCTCCTTCCCAGCCGAAAGTGCCAGCACAGATAGGGCCTTTCGAGCCCCAGCCTGCTGGAGCACCTGTGCTCACACGCGCAGGCACCACTGCCACGCCTTGCACACACGCCAGACACGTGTGCACACGCCTGTGGCCGGGGCAGGGGGCGCACCTCGCTGTAGCAGCTGTCTGGGCTCTCGCGGTAGGCGGAGGCGATGCTGGCCTGCACGGCCTGCACCCAGGCCTGCCGCAGCCTCTCCGAGTCGGCCTGAAGCATGCAGCTCCTGCGGGGACGGGGACGTCAGGCCGGTGGACAGGGACTCCCCCCTGCGCCCCGCCCCGGGCTGGGCCTGCTTACTTGGTGGGAGACACGACCTCAAAGCAGAACCGCCTCTCGATGTCCTCGCACGGCTTGACAGAGCACAGGCGGAGGTCATCCACCACCACGGTCAGCGCGTCCTGCGGGCAGCACCTCTGCAGCCTGTGTCCTCGGCCCCACCCGGCCCCGACCCCCTGGGACCGCTCGACCCCAGAGACACAGGCCGTTCGCAGCTCTCTGTCCCCTGATCGCTCGGGCTTGGTGTCCACAAGTGTACCAGCCATCACACCCCACCGGACAGCCCACCCCAGTCTGGGTGGGGAGGGGCCCAGCCCGCTGGGGCGGACACCACCCCCGGCCCCATGGCACACCTTGAGCTTCTTCTGGTAGACCAGCTGGCTGTTCTGAATGGAGAACCAGCGCCTGGGTGGGGGACCGGCAGGGGGGACGGGCGGAGAATCAGGCAGGGCCACCCCCACGTCCACGCCGCCCCCACTGCCTCAGCCCCTCCGAGGACGGCCCCTCACCGATTCCATGTCTTGAAGGCGTTGCTGGCCCTCTTGAAGAGGTAGCCCTCCATCACCACGCCGCTGGGCGCGTCCACGTCAAACTCCACCTTGGACTCATCGTAGAAGTCCTGGCGAGGATGGCGCCGGCCCCGTGAGCACCCAGCCCGCGGCAAAGCCTCTGCGCCTTCCAGCCAGGCCCCGGCCTGAGCAAGGCCCCGGCCCTGAGCCTCTGTGGGGCCGGCCCCTCATGTTCACCGCCAGGGGCTCCCCCCAGCCCCGGCCTCTTGGGGACACACAGGCTGAGATCAGGAAGGAAGCTGCCCCCGGCGTCTGAGGGCCCCATTCACGCGCCAGCTGCGCCCGCCCGGCCGGCCAGACAGAGCCCCATTCAGGAGGCCCAGGAGCCACTGGGCATCCTGTGTGTCCCGCAGTCTGGCAGGCCGGGGCGGCCTCGGGGAGGCCGGGCCACCTGCTTTCCAGGCTGAGCGGGGGCGGGAAGGGACAGCTGCTGCCCTCCCCCAGGGGACGCAGGGGGACATGGTCCAGGCTGCCCGGGTTCTGCAGGGGCCAGCACCCCTCACAGCCACAGGCACACAGGTGTCTCTGGGCACCCCAGCTCTGAGGCCGGCGGGCGGTGTCCTTGGTGCTGAAACGCCAGCCGGTGGGGGAGGCAGAGGCCCCGCCCTCTCCCCATTCCCCCCCCATGCCCCAGGGTGGGCACTCGCTCACCTGCAGCAGCGTCTGGGGGGCGGAAGCAAGAGCAGGTGCGAGGGGGAGAGACAGCCAGTGAGTGACGGCAGCCCTAGCTCCCTCGGGCTCACCCCCACCCAGAAATGGGCACTCCCGCCTGCACCGACACCTGCTCTGGGCGGGGGCCAAGGCCTCTGGTGGACAGAAGGCTGAGGGGCCACCCCCCACCTGCCCAGCCCAGTGAGGCTCCCAGGGGCGTGGGTGTGAGGGGCTGGGGGTAGGGGTGCAGGCATGTGCCTGTGCAGCATGGCGGCCCCCCAGGCTAGGGCTCCCAAGGTCAGGGAGGGCAGGGCTGCCGCGGGGCCTCACCCGCTGCTGGATGGCGGCATGCTTGCGCTCCATCTCGCGCTTCTCCACGGCAGAGTCGACCACCAGCTGGTCCAGCTGCGGTGCAGGTGGTCAGTAGGGCAGTGGACCCCCTCCCAGAGACCCCGCCCCGCCCCACCCCTCCCGAAGGCTCACCTCGGCCGCCAGCTTCTTCATGTAGGGGTCCAGCTGGTGCAGGAGGCTGTAGCCCTGCTGGAAGAAGCTGTACTGGGCATGCATGAAGGACAGCATCTGCGGAGACAGACAGGTGAGGTCCCCAGCCGGCCGGCACCCCCACTGGGGCTCCCATAACCCCCACACCTGGGCTGCCAGCCTCCACACCTGGGCTGCCACAACCCACCACACCCTGTGTTCCTGCAGCCCCTACGCCCATGCTCCCAGCCCCCCCGCCTGGCCCCCAGCAGCCCCCTACTCACAGAGTCCAGAATTTCAAACTTCTTCTTGGCCTGAAGGACGTTGATCTGCAGAGGAGGAGCCAGCGGGTTTGGCCAAGGCAGCTGGTGGCCTGCGCCCACCTCCCAGGCTCTATTGGGCTGCTTGTGGCCCCAGACCTTGCCCAGGGGGTCTTCAGCTGCCCGCACCACGCCAGGCTCGCCCTCCCGGGGTCCTCAGTCCTCCCCCACCATGGGCAAGGCGGAAGTTTTCACCCTGCTTGAGACCCCCAGCCCTCCCTGCACCAGCAGAGGCCTTGGCCCCTACGGCTCCTCCCCCCCCCCCCCCCCCCCGCCTTGCCTGGGAGCCCACCTGGAGAACATAGTCCAGGGCCAGGTGGCGGAAGCACTTCCGGGTGAGGCTGAGGGCACCCACAGCCTCCTCCACCTCGTGGGGCCGGTGCCTCGGGGCTTGTGCGTTCCTCACCAGGGACAGCTCCATGTCCTCCCGCACCTTGTCAAACTGCTTCTTTGTCTCCTTGAACTTCCGCACGTCCCTGGGGGCCGGCAATTGTTGGGTCAGAGGTCAGAGGGTCAGAGGAGAGCTGCCCACTGGGCCCCAGATGCCCAGGGGTCTTCCACCTTACTGAACCCCTCTTCCTCTGCTCCTGGGCAGGGCCTGCCTGTCCCAAGCCCCCACCCCCTCTCCACGTCCCCCCACTCTCTGCTCCAGGCACCCCCAGCCCTCTCCACCTTGCCCTAAGGACCCATGCAGCCCAGGTCATGTACCCCAATGTCAGCCCCACCTCTCCCCTGGGGTGGGACACCCCAGCCACACGTGCTGGCAGGGAGCTGCAGCCCTGCTGCCTCAACCCTGCCTGTCCCTCCCGAAAGCTTCTGCACAGCCCAAAGGCCGGGCAGGCCCCAGCCCCCTCCCCCCAGGTGTGCACGGCCTGGGCTCTCCCCTGGCGCAGGTGCCCACAGGGGCTAGGGACCCCAGAGACACTCACTCTTTGACAAAGTTGTGGAGCTGCTGCCGCACGGACCTCTGGGCCTGATCGAACAGGATCTGGGGCGGAGGGAGAGCCAGGCTGTCGGGGTCCGTCCACACGTGACCCCCGAGGCCAGACCCCATCCTGCCAGGGAGAACCAGCAGAGCCCTACGCTGCTGGCCTGCTCAGCTCGCCACAGGGGCCCTGCTCACCGCCTGGACGGATGTGGGGCGGGGGCTGTGACCACCTGCCGGTCTGCCCCCCCACCCCCCCGGCTGGTGGCCAGCCTGCCGGGCAGCGCCTTCCCGAATGGGCCCTTCCCCCAGCCCCACCCACAGCACCCAACTGGGACAGGCACAGGGCACGGTGTGACACTCCCTACTGGCCCCAGAAGCCACTGGAGGACGACGGGCATTGCAGCAGGTAGTCCAGAGCCAGGTGGCAGAAGCACTTCCGGGTGAGACTGAGGGCGCCAAGAGCTCCCAGGGACTGGGCCTGGGCCGTGGAGGGGCCCTGGTCCTCCCCACAGCACAGGGCCCAGAGTCAGACCCCCCACGTGGAGGAGGCTGGGCCTCACCAGGAACACACAGGGACACACACAGGACACGCGACCCTGAGCTGGTTTATTTCTGAACTTCCCCTGCCCAGGGTGGGGCCCCTGTTTAGTCTGGGGCTCTGGTTCCCAGGCCGTGGCCCGACCACCCACGTGCGCCTCCTCGGGCCGTATTCTTTGTCCACTGCGGTGCTGCAGCCCCGGGGGGGTCACCCGGGCCCAGCCCCAGTGGCAGTGAGGTACTCTAGTCAGCTCCGCCCAGCTGCAGGGACCCTGGATGGACCCCCAAGGCCTCCGCCACCCCAAGACCCCCCTGCTCACAGCCCCCACCTCGGGACTCGGCTGAGCCGGGTGATGTCCGCCCGCGTCCCCACTGACTCGCAGATGCGGGACGGCCACCACCCCCACAGACTGGAGGAGCAGAAACGTGGCCTCCCCCAGCTGGCCACGGCCGCCAGCTCAGCTCCTGCGAGCCAGCCAAGTGCCGTTCCGGGCTGGGCGGGGCCTGCGGGCGGTGGGGGAGCCGCCTGGGCGGGGGGATGACACCCAACGGGGAGCCGGCGGCCGGGGCTCACCATGTGGTAGTTGACCACCTCCTGCAGGCTGTCTCCAAACCTCTGCAGACATTCCTGGGGACAGGCAGGGCGGAGAGACTGCTCGCTGACACGGGCAGGCGAGGGGTGACACGCCAGCCCAGCCTTCCGCGCCCACGGGACACAGAGCCACCCCTGAGGTCCAGGGCAGGCCCCAGCTGCTCCCTGGGCCTGGGCCCCCTCAAAGGGCTGCCCTCCGCCCCTGCCCACCCCTGGGGGTCAGAGGTCAGCTGGCCCCTTACCGAGATGACAGTGTCGCCTTGGCACTGCTGGGACAGGTCGCGGACGCCACTGACGAAGAGCCTGTTGGTGCTGACGTAGGCCTTGCCGGCCTCGATCATGCCACTGCACAGCTTGACCAGCTGCGGACAGGACGCAGGGGCGAGGTGAGGGGCCGGCAGCTTCTCCAAGCCTGCTACGCCCTCACCACCACTGGCCTGGGAGCCAGGATTCAACAAGGGCCCGGGACTGGGGAGGGGCTGCTCCACACCTCGGGCTCCCCCAGGCCGGAGCCTGCCTGGTGCTTCCGGGAAGTTCCCAGAGGGCGGGAGGCTGGGTAGGACAGGGGAGCCCAGGCTGCGCCGGGGCACGGGGCTCTGGCGGGGTCGGTTAGACCAGCCAATGTGGCAGCCCCTGCCCTCGCTCTCACCCCCACCCGGTCACGCCGAGGCAACAGATCCAGCCGCAGTGGGCGGAGGGGCAGGTGGGCACACTGAGTGCCGGGACTCGCCAGGGCCCACCCGTCCCGGACAGGATGGGCTCAGGGTCAGACATGTGTATGTGCATGTGCATCTGGGAACACGTATGGTGGGACACAGAGGGGCCGACGCGGAACAGACGTGGGTCCTGTGCATGCCCATGTGTGCTCACACACGCAGCACACCCCATGTGCAACACACTCATGCACGCACACACACACACATACACACACGCACATGGGTCAGTAAATCCTGGAAGACGAGTCCTGCCTGCCGCCAGCCCGGCCCAGGCAGGGCGTGGGGCAGAATGGCGGCGGGCCCTGCCCTCACCTTGTCCAGCTTGGCCTCGACTTCCACCACGTCCGCCTCCACCTCGTCGATGGTTGCCCTGCAGCGAGGATGGGTGCCGGGCTCAGCCTGGGGCTCTGCCACGCCCTGCAGCTCCCCAGGGGTCCGCCACAGGGGTCTGGACGCAGGCAGGCAGGCGGGCAGGATGGGCCCAGGTCCTGGATGCCGGAGCCGCCAGCGCCCACCGCCACCACCCGCCACCCCAGGCAGGAAGAAGCCACACTGGCTGTGACCCCCGACCTGGGCTCTGGCTAGATGACAGACCTGGGGACAGGTCAGGCAGGCGGCAGCCCCTGGGGACAGTGGCCCATCTGTGTCCTGACATACTGATCCACGGGCCAGAGCCCCACAGTGGTGCTGCCCACGAGGGCCGGGCGAGCCTCCCCAGCTTCCCTCCTCTCTGGGCTCAGAGTTCACCCCGACCCCTCTGGGTTGCGCTTCAGCCCCCTTAGCGCCTGCCTTGTGCCCCTCTGTGGACCCAGGAGCCTCGGGTGGGGGCTGGCGGCTGGGGGCAGCTGCTCTCCGTCCCGGCAGCACCAGGAGGCTCCAGAGTAGCTGACGAGAGACGTCTCCAGCTCCTCCACCTCAAATCAAACGGCACCGTCCCCCCACCCAAGGGAGAGGCGCAGCCCCGCCCAGAGCCCGCTCCCACCAGGCCAGCCCGACCCAGCGCTGCCTGGGGAGAGAAGAGTTAAGGCATGACATCACTGGAGAAGCCACCAGGAGAACCCCCGGAAGGCAAGAGGCAGATGGATCCACACGTGACCACCCCCCTCCGGGAGCAGGAAATGGGGAAATGGGGCCAGGGTCCCAGCAGCCCCTCACGCCGCACAATCGGCTCAGCTGGCAAAGCCACGGCCCATCTGGCTTCTCGGGGACAGGACTTCGGGGCCTGGGCTGGTGCCAGGGGGGGAGGCTGCCCCCAGAACAGGCCCTGGGCGGGGGTGCAGCAGGGGCGGCCGCCCGGTCCAGCACCCCTCACCCTTTGTGGACCAGCAGGGGGAGGGGTGTGCTCCAGGGTTTCCCAGGCCTGGGGGATCACATGAGGTGTGTCCTTGATTCCCACCTAGGCAGGACACCAGCTCCTCTCTAAGGGACTGAGGGGACAGAAGGAATCCAGCTGCATGAACACCAGTGTCCAGCCCACCTTCACTGGAGGTGTGGACAGCCCAGGACCCCCTCCCACTACTGTAGCATCTCCCCTGGAGGGAGGGGTTCCAAAGCAGTGAAGGGACCAGCCCAGGGCAGTGCTGCAGTGACAGCCCCGCCCCCAGAGCCCACAGCAGGGCCGGATGCAGAGACAGCTGCACCTAGAGCTGCCACCCCCTGGCTGGGGGCGCCTGTGTCCCTGGCAGGGTGGCAAGTGCGGGGCTGCACCAGGAGCTGACAGATGTGCTCTGGGGACAACAGGGGTGCTCAGCAGAGGCCCTGAGGGCTGCACCCAGTCCTGGGAGCCCCTGACCATGTCCCTCCCCAGCCCAGGGGGACCTGAGGCCTCCTCCCCGCTGGGCGGGATCTCAGCAGCAGTTGAGGGTGGTGGAGGCTGGCGGGGAGGGTGAGGCCGGCCCCTCCACCAAAGCCGTGACTCAGCGCCTGGAGCCCCACCCAGGCCGAGACAAGCTGAATAATGGCCGGGCAGCTCCCCCTCGGCAGGCTCCCCTGGACCCCGACCCACGTGCAGCTCCTCCCCAGGCCGGGAGGGTCCAGGCAGGGTCCCCCTTCCCAGGGCTGGGCCCTCCAGGCTCCACATCAGAGACCACCTTCTCCTGTCCTGCCCTAGCCCAGGCACTGGTGGGCACCAGGGAGCTCAAGTTTCAGCTTCAGGGGCACCGGAGCGTAAGCTGACAGGGGAACCCCAGGACAGCCTTGGGGAGCCCCTCAAACCCCAGTAAAATCACAGCCCAACACTAAAGCCCCTGAGCCAGGCTTCTGAGGCCTGAAGACCAGGGTCCAGGTAAATTGTCCCCAGCTCTCTGCTCCTGTCCCGTGTCCCCACCCTGGGCAGCCCCAACCCGGGGCAGCCTCTTCGCACCAGAAGCAGCGTTGCGAAGCCCAGGCAGCTGCAGCACCTACGGCAGGCCCCACAGTCCCCACAGGCTGGTGAAGGAGGGAAGGCCCAGAGGTGGTGGGGTTCCAGCACCCCCACCCAACTAAGCGAGGTCAGCCCAGATCCCTCTATGTGGGCAGAGTAGGAGCAAGAGGCTCTGAGTGAGGGTCCAGGGTGAAGGTGCTTCAGCCAGGAGCGAGCCCGCCCACCTCTGGCAAGGAGGCCCTGGCCACGCCTTGCCCCAGCCTGGTCTCAGAGGACAGAGGCCCATGGTGGGGCACAGGATGCTGGGACGCCAGAGTGCTCATTGTTGGCTGTCAGCGTGGTGGGGAAGGGCACCCTCTGCAGGCAGTTGTGCGTGGGGCTGGCTTGAGGGATGCCCAAGACCATGGGTGCACCCCCACAAGGCCCTCTTGCTGGCAGGCCCCCAGACACCCAGCATGTACACACACGCATGACCCAGCACACCCATGCAATGGCATGACACATATGCTCATGCACAAACATGCCTGCATGCGGTGGCACTGTGCACAGGCGTGTGTATCCAGGGATATGGTACACAGACATATCCTCCCAGTACTGGGACACGCATGTACAAGCTAACGTGTCTGTCTAGTGACATGGTAAGCATATCACATGAATCCACACAGAGAGATATCGTGTACACACGCATGCAAGCACCTAGCATGCCAGCCCAGCGGTGCAGCTCACCCACACGTTCTGTGCATGGTCTGGCACCTCCAGGGAGGGGCACAGAGGAGATGCACCCTGCACGAGCATGTGCAGCAGAGGTGGCCTCGTGCAGAGGCACACTTGCAAGAACGGAACAGAGGAGGTTTGTTTGCCTCCATTACTGTCTGCACAACGTAGTCAGACGGCTAAGGCAGATGCACGCTTGTGCACACGTCCAGGAACATGTGGTTCATGCAGATGTGCACTCCTGCACGCCCAGGAATGATGAAAAACACACAAACGCAAGGGTGGATGCAGACCCTACCCTCCCACCTGCCCTTCCGCACCACTCTGACAGCCCCCGCCCATCACACCCCCGGGGCACCCTCCACCCCTGCCACGAAGCCCGTCCCAGGGCTCCAAACGGCTTCAGCTGCCTGTCCTTCGCGCACTGCTCCGGACACATGGACCACGGCAGGGACCAGGAACAGAACCCCCCAACGGACCCAGACAACCCTGGCCGGAGCCCGGCTGCGGGGCCGGGGAGTGGCGTGGCCCCCGGGGGAGCCGCGAACGAGGGCGCGGACACAAAGCTGGGCGGACGGTGCGGCGGCGGCCGTGCCCAGGGCGGCCCGGCCGGACACGGCCGCGCAGGGGCGTCTTTTGTTCACGCGGAGCGGGCGGCTTTGTCCGGCGGCCTCCACCCCCGCCCGCCCGCCGCCCGCCGCCCGCGCGGGCACAAAGGCGGCCGCCCGCCCGCCCCGCCCGGCGCACCTGAAGCGCGGCGAGTCCTTGACGCACTCCTCGAACTCCACCGTCATGGCTGCGGCGCGCGGCGCTCGCTGGCACGGAGCGCCCAGGGCAGCCCGGCCGGCCCGTCCCGCGCGCCCCGCCCGCTGTCACCGCCGGGGAGCGTCGCCCAAGTCCGCCGCCGGGGAGCGTCGCCCAAGTCCGCCGCCGGGGAGCGTCGCCCAACGCCCTCCGCGCGTGCACGGGCCGCCGGGGCGGGGGCGCGGGGCCGGTCCGCACAGTCGCCTTCAGGGGACACGCGCGGGCCCCGCCTGCTCCAGGCGTCCGGCCGCCGCGCAGCTCGGCCGTTTGCAAAACCCACGTCCGGGAGGGTTTGGCCGGAACGCGGCAGCCAGACGCTCGGGGAGCACGGGCGGCGGCGGCGGCAGCACCGCGAGTGCACGCGCGCGCGAGCGGGAGCGCGCCTGCAGGGCCTGGGTGCCGCGCCGGTGCGAGCGGGCCCACGCGCCCGAGCCGGGCCGGCACTTTGCACCGGCTCCCTAAGCCCGGCCCCGCCCCGGCGGCCGAGGGGCGCGCGCGCGCCGGGCGGGGCGGGCGCGGGCGCAGGCGCGGAGGCGGGGCCGGCCGCGCGCGCAGGACCCCACGTCCGGCGCGCCCCGCCCGGCTATGGGTCCGGGTTCCGCTGCGGGCTCGGTGCGGGCGCGCTACCTCGTGTACTTCCAGTACCTGGGCACGGACTTCAAGTGCGTTGTCCGCCCGCCGGGCGGGAGCGGGAAGGACGGGAGCTGGACCCGGAGAGGAACGGCCGGCCCGCGGGCCTCGGCCCCAAGGGAGGGCGCGGGCGGGCGCTACATCTAGGGTCGCGCCGTGGACGTCTCTGGCCGGGGGCCGGTGTGGGTTGGGCCTCGGCGGCAGGCGGGCCGGCGGGCCTCGGCCGGGCCCCCAGGGCGGGGCGGCCTGCGCAGGCGCTGCCCGTAACCTCCGCTCCTCTGCCTGCAGCGGAGTCGCGGCTGTCCGGGGCACCCAGCGCGCCGTCGGGGTCCAGGACTACCTGGAGGTGAGTTCCGCCAGCCCACCCGGGAGGAGGGCGTCCCCGGGGTGCACGACGAGGGGCGGATGGGAGCTCCCAGCCGTCCCCCAGGGCGTGGGGGACCATCCCTTGGGGCTACGGCTTCCACCCGTGCTGCCTGCCTGCCTGCCCCAGCGCCTGTCCCCCGCAGGAGGCCGCAGCGCGGCTGAATTCCGTGGTGCCGGTCAAGTTCACCGTCTCCAGCCGAACGGACGCCGGGGTCCATGCCCTGAGCAATACCGCGCACCTGGACGTCCAGCGCCGCTCAGGCGAGCCACCCTTCTCCCCTGAGGTCCTGGCACAGGCCCTCAACACCCACCTGAAGCACCCGGCCATCAGGTGAGCCCAGCCACCTGAGCTCGCCTGGGACTCTCCTCTCCCCTGACTGTCCACTGCTGGTGTAGGCTGGAGGTCTGGAAAGACTGTATGGGCAGAACTTGGGGGGATGGGGGAGATACCAAGGTGTCCCCTGGGCAGGTGGGCCATTCGTCTAGCCAGCCTGACTCGCTGCCACAGGGTACTGCAGGCCTTCCGAGTGCCCAGCGACTTTCACGCACGCCACGCGGCCACATCCAGGACCTACCTGTACCGCTTGGCAACTGGCTGCCCCTGGCCCAGTAAGCTGCCCGTGTTTGAACGGAACCTGTGCTGGGCTCTGCGAGCAGAGTGAGTGTGGTTATGAGAGTGAGGGAAGGGATGGGCAGGAACACCTTGCTGGCCCCACCCTGACTGCTGACCTGGCTTCCTGAAGCTGCCTGGATGTGGACGCCATGCGGGAGGCCGGCCGGCACCTCCTTGGGACCCATGACTTCAGCGCCTTCCAGTCGGCCGGCAGCCCGGCCACCACCTCTGTGCGAACCCTGCGCCAGGTCTCAGTGTCCCCGGGGCCAGCCAGTACCTTCGCCCTCCCCCAGGAGAGCAGGTGAGGAGGGGTGGCCTTGCACTGTGGCCCTGCCCCAGGCCATTGGCGCTGAATTAAGCCCCCGCCCTTCCTCCAGCAAAGGCAGGCAGAGGCTGGACGGGGGTAGCAGGCACCCGCAGGGCCTCCTAGGGGGTGCTGGGCAGCTGGAGCGTGCAGGGCAGCTGAGTGGCACAGGGCAGACACGAGTTTGCAGCTGTGTGCTCCCCCCAGCCAGGTCTGTGCCAGGCTGAGGAGCAGAGAACAGACATGGCTGCCTTTCTCAGGGGACCCCTGCCCTGCCCAGAGCTGTGTCCACCAGTGGGGGGATTTTGGCAGCTGCTTAAAACGTTTCACTGGGCCAGTGGTTCCGGCCCAGCTTGGCAGGAGGCGAGTTCTGCTGCCCTTGGCACTGTCCAGGGGCCTCTTCCCAGGTGGCAGCTGCTGACCCCGAGAACCCTCCCAGTCCTGGCCAGCCCAAGGGGAGGAAGGAGTTCTGCGTGGCCACCTCAGACTCTGGGGTGAGGGCACCAGGCCTTGGGCTGGGGTCTCGGCTGTGCTCCCCTCAGCAGCCCAGACTCTGCCAGGCCCTCAGACTTGGGGTGTCTCCATGGGGGGTCTACCAGGCCACTGTCTCTGTGGGCCCCCACAGGGTCCTGCTGACTCTGCCTTGCACAAGCTCCCAGAAGGGGCAGGTGGTCAGTGAAGAGCCCTGGTGACGAGCTGGGCCTGCTGAGGCCACATGGCAGGCCAGGGGTGGCAGGGGCTGCCCCAGGGCCAGGACGTCACAGGTGCCTGTCTCCCAGCAGGCTGCGCTTCTGGAATCTGGAGTTTGAGAGTCAGTCTTTCCTATACAGACAGGTAGGCTCTGTCTTGGGGCCCTCCCAGGGGTCGGGCACACGGGCCCTGCAGCAGTCTCTGCTCTGGGTTGCAGGTCCGGAGGATGACAGCAGTGCTGGTGGCTGTGGGGCTGGGGGCTTTGACACCTGCCCAGGTGAAGGTGATTCTGGACAGCCAAGACCCTCTGGGCAAACACCAGACGCGTGTGGCCCCGGCCCACGGCTTATTCCTGAAGTCAGTGCTCTATGAGGGCCTGGGGGACATTGGTAAGAGGAGCGGGCCAAGAAGGGGTCTACTGTACACTCCTCTGACTGACCACCTCCTGAGGCTGGGCCTGTGCTGGGGAGGACGCTCTTGGTGGCAGTCACAGCCCTACTGTCACACAGGCAGATGGAGTGGGGAGGGCAGGGGGTGTGAAGGTGCCCCTCAGCCCCAGTGAGCAAGATCCCAGCAAGCAGAGGGCTTTGGGCCAACCTCTGCCCAGGCTGATCGGGGGTCTGTCCACAGGTCCTGCCTCCTGAACCCCGTAGGGTCCACAGTGTGGAAGCCACAGGTGAACCTGGACACTCAGCCAAGATTGCGCCAGCCACAGCACTCTAGGCCCAGCAGGACCGGTTCCCTGCTGGTCAAGCCGGCACATCCACAGCTGCCTGGGGCCACAACAGACCTACCCAGAGTCCCTAACACCCAGGACACTGGCCTCTGTCCCTGGTGGGCTGGCACGGGGTGGGGCGCAGGAGACGGTATGTGCGCCGGGAAGGGAAAACCAAGTGGTCTCTGGTTCTGCTTTTATTGGCGATCGCTGTCCGAGAGCCCCTCCCCCACTGTCTCGTTGGGGCCCAAGAGTAGGAATAAAGGCCCAAGCGATCTCAGAGTCCCATTTACTTCTTCAGCCAGAAACAGCTGCTCTGGCAGGAGTGTGACGCTGTGGCCTCGTCTCGGGGATGGGGGTCTGTGGCCCAGCTGTGGGCTCCATTCTCCCAGGGCACACAGCGTCCTGGAGTGGAAACGCAGGACCCTCCAGCTGGGCAGGAGGCGGCGATCAGCAGGCCTGGGCGACGGGCCAGCCTCAGCTGGGGGCCTGGGGGAGGCCCTTCTTGAGCAGCGACGTGAGGTAGCTGCCCAGCTCCTCGTCCTACAGTGGAGGCAAGAGGGCCACAGCTGTCCTGTCCCCACTGCAGACAGCCCGGGGGGAGAGGGAGTGATGCCACGGGGGTGGGTGCCACCCTGCGATACCTGCCGCCCCTCACCTGGTAGGTCCAGGAGACCAGCAGCACCTTGGTGGCTGGGTCCTCCGAGGGGGCAGCGGCCTGGATGAGGATGGACTCGACCGTCACAGAGCCGTCTGGGAGGTGCTGTACGCAGTGGTCCTTCAGGATGCTGTGGGGATGCGCAGTGAGACCCTGCCGGGCGCCCGGGGCAGGCGGCAGGGTGTAGGGCAGGATGCCTACCTCTTGAGGTGGCTGTAGACACGCATGGCCGTCTCCTGCTCCTTGCGTGTGTCGTGCAGGTGGACGCGGCAGGTGAAGCGCAGCTGGTGCTCGGCCAGGCCCAGCTCCTTAAGGGCTTGCTCTGAAGACACGAGCCGGAAGTTCTGCGGGGTGGGGACAGGTCAGGGAGAGCAGGCATGGCCCCCTCCCCAGGCCCCTGGGTACTCACACTGTCCTTCATGATCAGGGTGCCGTGCAGGAGCCGGGGCTTCTTGGCCTCAGGGAGCAGCCCTGCGGGGGCGGGGACAGGAGCCTTCAACCGGCTGCAGGCTCACCAGCCCCTGCCCACCGCATCCGC